TCCCCGGTAAGGACAACAGCGCGTGTTCGTTCCCCACTGCATACACCTGTGGTCCGGAGTTTTGCAAATATCTCAGCACTTCATACGAGTTATCTCAGCAACGTTGTGGCTCTATATAAAATTAGATAAGCGTTCAAATGAGAGAGTAGAATCTTTAGTGTTTATTCAGAGCCTTATTCGTGAGTCAGTGGAACGAATAATCAGACCTGACATCGGCATGAACGTCAAGGAACTAAGCGACCAAAGTAAGAATCTCTTCTCAGGAAACATTATCGACTATTGACAGATTGTTTAGAACAATGCAGCTCTAGTGGCTACCGTGAGCATTTGCGGTAAGGTTTTACTTTATCGTATACTTTCAGAGCTCATTTGTCATTCAATAATATACCACTACTTAATAAATGCTGGCTATCGAGCAGCAGCTGAAGTGATGCAGGCTGAATGCTATGAGGTCAGAACTTATTCTTGTCATTTTGACACTAATAATACAAGCATCAGCACTGTGGTTACTTCTCTATACCATAAAGAACTTGGCCGGATAAAAAGTTCTCTGAAAACGCAAGGTATTCAAAGAATTTTCTCGAATGATAGATATCTAGTGAACCAGGAAGGAAGAGAATACTAGGACAACATGAAAATATATGTGTGATTGTCCATCACTTAGTATTACATGACTAAATATTAATAATTGTGAAGATCCTAGAGCTCCTTTCATTCGATTCGCTTTCTCGCATCCATAGTCTATGAAGGCCTTTGGACTTGTGTATAGGATTGTTGGTGATTTTGGCGTTCTTTGGGAATGCCAGTGAATTCCGTCTAGTGCACTCTTCATGAAATCCTGGCCTAGCAGTGCTAAAGCGTTCGTAGGGCTTCCCCAAATGCCTGAACAAGTCTGCATCAATGTCCCTACTCCGAAGAGATGCGGGAGATGACTGGCCCACTGTGTGATCAAACCAGAATGACGCGCATGTTGAGCGGCCTGTCTGCCACTGCGATACCCGTGCGAATGTGTGAAGAAGCTGTTCTATATCTAATACGATTGAAAATTAGATGTTTTGATGGCATTTCTGTTTAGGTTATGCAAGTCTTTGTCTGACTAGTTTGCGGTTGACTTGACAATTCCGCGCTCTGAAGAGAGAATTTCGTCAGAACGTCAGCTGTTGTAAACAAAATGTAGTAACAATCTCGTGTATGCTAATCAAGAAAACGGAGGGTTATAATGTGAATACCAATGTTGATAAAATTTTGTAATTTAGTGCTTCCTTTCACATGATTTCCTCATGAACAATGTCGAACCCTTCGATGATAACTCAGTGGAAACGAGCCTAGGACAGCACAAATTAAAGGACGGGATCACTATAACGAGAGTCAGTCGTCGTAAAAGTGGTAACGGTATCGTCAGTGATATGAAGCTTCCAACTAAACCCGATCCCCAATACGAGCAAACTAAGGAGAAAATCCGAGAAGAAATCATCACGTCCGCCGATAAAGCAGTTGAACGGAAGCACGAACTGATGAAGGTGTGCAGACAAAATATACGATTACATTATAAATCACTTTAAGTTCATTAGTGGTTTCAATCCCATTTTTAATTTTTATTTCAATTTCTATTAAAATGAAGGCAAATGAGATGCTTAACGAAGAACTAACGGACGAGGAAGAAGAGGACGAGGAATCTAAAGAGAGAGAATCTGAGACGAAATTTTCAACGTCGTCCGAATCGACAACTGTTGAATCTGAAACGTGAGTGAAACAGAGAATTCTGCAGTTAGGTGTCTCAAAACTTGGCTAAGCTTCCATTATTCATCTGCTTTTTATACCCTCCAAGATGAAGAACCTGCATAAGTTTACCATATGAGAAAATTCAAGTAATAACAGCTCTGCTTTGAACAATTCCATACGGATGCCCTCCTTGTGTGAGCTAAGGATGTATCAAACCAGCGATTTTTTCAATGATGCTGAGATATTTGCAAAACTCCGGAGCGCACGTGTATGCGGTGGGGAACGAACGCGCTATTGTCCTTTCCGGGGAGTAACGCGTTCACCACCACACCATGCAGGTCCTTTGTTTCGCCTGTCTCTCAGCTAGTTCTGTCGATCTTTTTGCCATCAACAATCACCCGTTAGCGAGATTGATCTGGGGAGCCCAAATCGGCAACGAACCCAGTTAAGCTGAGGCCGTAGTTATAATCACAATTTTAACTCATTATTTACTGCTCACTCATTTTAACGACAGGGTATGTATTGCGAAATACCAGCGATTTTTATCAATTCAAACATGTCCGGCTTCAAGCCGATTCCGAGAGGGTTGGGTGTTTCGGTTTGCCGGTAGAGCGGGTTCGAACAGGAAACCACGTGTGTCTGTTGCAGCGCATTCCTCACCATTGCGCTACATACGTATGTAAGACGAGTATTGCGAAATAACAAGTAGTAACTAAATCTAAAGCTCCGGACCCACCAAGCCTTTCATTCCACCGAGGTTCAGAAATTGGTATCGAATTTGTTTGGAAAATGTTGGCTGTCTGCAGTCTAAATGGGAGCCCTCTAGTCCAGTTTTTAAGCGCTTTAGGGAGAAACGACAAGACGAGCATTCAGAAACATTCAAGACGGAAGAAAAATCCTCAAGTATCAGCCGAACCTTCACGCAGAAAATTGCAAGAGCTCCGTGGATGACGGATGCTAGCAAACGAATCGAATGCAGGAAATGTTGGGAATCGTACAGTAGATGTGAACGACGAACTGTGTAAAAAAAACAAAAATCATTTTTAATTGACACCTAGACATATGACACATGATTTCAGTGAAGCCGTGACATCAACCTGGACTAAACGGCTATGGTCTCCAAACGCCCATCAGCTCTCCACAGATGCCATCATAGCCACATCAACGGAGCCCAAAAGGTGTTCTTCCACTTTAACGATCCCAATTTTCTAAATGTTCTGTTAATCAACTTCTTCGCGCAATACCTTTTCCGGTAGCAGAGAAGGGGATGGGTCATGGGTAGGGAAAAATGATGTGCACTAGCTGATTTACTCCAAAGAGTGCATTTCTTATCATCAACTCGATAACCGTTGCGAAGAAAGTGACAAACAATATCTCTGACCACAACGAAGGCAGTGCCTTCCTGCGACAATCGCTAGGAAACAATCCGGCCGGACAAGCCATGATCCAAAAACCTGGGACTTGATTTACTAACGATTTATTTTATTATGATTAACGGGTTAAAATGACTCTGTCGTAATTGAAACAATTTCTATAGAAACCATTCCAATCACAAATTAGCTAGATTTCCACGTAAGACAGAGATATTCGAAATCTTCGACGCGAAAACAAAGCCGGAACCAATCGAGGACGCCATACGTGAGAGCTTTTCCGACAGTAAAGTTGATACTGCACGGAACTCGTCCAAATGTTAAGTGGGTAGAAATCTGTTACACCGCAGTTGACAAGCGTTCATTGGATAGTCGGACCATCCACGAAATACGCGCAGATCAGTCTATACTGGACAGTTCCCAAGTCTCCTTTACATTATTAAAACATTACAAACTGCCTTTCTTGAGCTGAAACAAAGTTGTTATTAGGTGTTCATGAGATTTTATACATGAGATTTTGGCGACTTCGCCTTCCCCACAGCCTGGACACACTTTATATAACTCTATTAATCTGCCTCGACTATTAAGCTAACATGAGGTTGGTATAAAATCGCCAAAATCTCGTCTCTTTATTCGGCCAGTGTTTCGACGTCTTCGTCCTCTTCAGGGTCGGATTGATTTCGGTCGGTGGTCGTTGTCGCAATGTGGTTGTTTGGTGTTGAATCCAGTGAACTGAACCATCGCTCGAATAAAGAACCTCTCTTGAGGAGGGGCTCTTTCTATGCAGGATGGCCATTGATCTATTACCACTATCTAGTACGATCTGCTTTTTTGGAGGGCTAGCATCATGTAACAGTCGGTACTCATTAATTGGCACGTAACATGACAATGTCTTGAAACCGACTTTCACTAAACCTCTGGAAAACCTCCATTCATTAAATTCCGTGGATTTCTCTATGGCACCTGGTGTACAAACGAACGTTAATCTGCTAAAACAAACTACTCACCTTCTTTTCTTGTAAGGTATGATTCCACCCACTTGTTGTTCACGAGGAATTCCAAATGAAACTCAGCCAGATTAAAGAATCAATCAATATTATTTTCATTGCTTATTGAATTTTACAAGTGAATGGTAGTGTTGAGATGAGGAGACAATTACATCCGTAAATGATCAGTAGTTCGTCTAATGTTGTCCTTCTAATGCAATCAGTTCGTTCTTCCTGCCGACAATCAACTATGACGGCGAACTCGTCCGAGAAATAGAGAACGCTGGCTTTTCTAATGTCTGCCCGTCAATAGTCATTGTATAGACAACGCAAGCATTCATCGCCAATTCAAGTTCTTGAACTTACTTGCACGATCATACTTCAATGAAAAAAGTCAGTAAAATCAATCAAACTTTGTTTTCTTTTAATAGTTCCCAGGACCGACTTCCTCTTAACCTCGGGATTGGAATATGAATGTGTCATTTTCTTGTTCAGCAATCGCGAGGTTTTTAAACAGCATACATTTACTTCCATAAAAACACAATACAACACCCTTGCTTTGCTTCCTCCAAGCCAGTTTGTTTTCTTTGTTGCAGAGCATCGGAACTGCCGCCGTTGACGACTACTCGTCCGAAACCGGAGATCACCTCAATCAGATCTATTGATTTTGACATCCCACGTAAGGATGCTAATGTATATTTTTTGCCTAAGTACTCTGTGATTTGTGCGATAATACAGAATCATTAACGGGCCTTGCTTAGCTTTAAATGCTAATAATTCAGCAAAAATACTATAAAACATCAATAACTACTTTTTATCTGCTGCCTATTGTTATTCTCGCCAGCAGGATATGATTTGAAATACAACCACTATGATGCCTAGATACTAGGAAATCATGGAACATAGCTCAGATTCTAACCCGCGCTTAACCTTTCCGCGAATCACGTGTCACCCATTGAACCCCTGAAGCCCTTGCTTTGCTTCCTCCAAGCCAGTTTTCTACCTCATTGTGCTACCAGTAACCATTGATCAACAGGAATGATCTAGGGGCACAAGTCGGCATTAAACTCAGTTAAGCTGAGGGTGTAGTCGAAATCACAATATTTCTCCTCATTTACTGCCTACTCTTATTTTTCTCCCCAGGGTATGATGTGAAATACAACCACTACGATACTGAAATATTTGAAAAACCTAAACCCTAGCCCAGATTCGAATCCGCGATTACTCTATCCGGAAGCTAGCGTGTTACCCACTGGAGCACTGAGGCCGTTGCCTGATCTTTCTCACAGTCAAGGTAATCGCGGGTTCGAATCTGGCCTAGGATCCAAGTTTTGCAAATATCTCAGCACCATAGTGGTTGTATTAATAGGTACTGCCGAATGATAGTCTGCTTATGTCTCAAGTTTTCCATATAGACTCGAACATAATAAAATTAAACAGTTTCGTTGCTTTTTTTCTTTGTTTTGTGTTTTCCATCCTTCATCTATCCTATACCTTCTTTTTAATAAAATTTGCCGCAAATTATTTACTTAAAAAATAATGAATACACACAATGAAATTATATGAGTCTGAAATACCACCTATTGACACACACATGGGATCGATCTCCTCGACCACTGCTCACCAAGACTTCCACCCCTCCGAGGTGGGCAAATTGGTACCAGACTTGTCTGGGAGGGTAGCTCGATACATCGGTAGGCAACCGCGAATCATTGTAAAGGCCAGATATGCATTCATTATTTCCAAGAAAGATTAATAAAGTCGAATGTATGGATGGCGCATCCCTCAGAGATTGATCAACGCCAAGAGCTCTATCCCTTTTTATACGAGTTTAAAACATTATTCAAAAATTCCGGTTTAAATAAATCCTAAATGGAACGTTGTCTATTCGTTTTTGAACAACCTCCATCCAATTATGTTGAGAGTCATAAGGTTACCAATAACTTCTATTGCTACTTTATTCGAGAAGAGAAGGAAAAACACTCGAATCGTTTTCAAATAGAAGAAAACCCGGTCAAAAAATACCTTAAAACGTCTCATAACAACGTTTATAAGATTCTTTTCACTTAGAACTGGAAAAAAGTCCATCTACGCAGTCAAGCGATACTCCTCGAAACTCGCTAAGTCCTCCAATAGAGTGCAACACTCCACCAAAAGGTGATGATTTAATAGTTTTAATAACATTTTTCCGAAGTCCTTCGATGATTATTAGCTTAAGTGTTCTTTAATAACTTTTATCCGTTGATAAAGCTTAAACCATTACCTATGAATACCGCTTTCTATTCTGAGCTTATTTAACTCATATACTTAAAGACGACCTTTTAAGCCACATATCTGTTTTTCAAGAAGACGAAATCAAAACGGCATCAGTTTATTGAAGCTGTCAGGAGGATTCCTTTATTCATCACTTAAAAAATCTCATTAAGAATTTCCCCAACATTACTGGAATGACTTAAATTACAATAAATGTGTGTTTACCTTTCAGTCGATGAACTCAGCGACATCGAGACGATCGCTGGAATCGATCAACTTTTAGAATCCGCTCGATCTGACAGCATATCGTTCTAGAACATTTTCCGTATCACTTCAATGGTGTTCTTAAATTCCCTCCTGCAAATATCGATTCCAATTCAGATTGATTCCAGTTCTCTTCTAAATAAATCGATTGTAATTTGAAGTGACTCCGAAACCTTTGAATTTTTTTTTTGATAAGAAGTCGAAGACAGCTTAGGCTTAAACAGCCCTTCATAATTCCTTTATTTGTCAAATAAACGTTTTTTGTACTCCACTTATTTATTTTTTATATCATTCGACTTCACATGTTTTGTGGAATCCAGCAGTCCCTTCGTTCGGTAATTTGTCTTGCATCCACCATTTATGTCGGTCTTTGAATTTGTATGTGAATTCTGGTGCCCTTTGAGGTTTTTACTCTCTTTATAGGTACGGGTTGAGTAGATTCTCTCTAGAACGCTGGTATAGTTCCGCTAGCACGTTCCCAGGTCTCCACTTCAGGCAGTTTCCGCCCTTTGTGGATTGGATAGAACCTCTCCAAGACAAATGCGTTACCAATTTTCCGACCTCTAAGGTATGGAAAACTAGTTTTACTCGACTCAGAACGGAGCCAGCATGTTACTGCGTGTATTGCACATCTATTACCACGACACTTCCTCTGTAATGTATGAAAAGTGATACCGTAAGCAACAAAGTTTTGCACAAAGACGTCTTAATCAAAAATGCCTTGCTTTCTTGGTTACAACCTATGTTTTATTTTCGGTCATCAGCTTTGTTTGCATGCCTGCTTGAATCAGTACTTGAGATGACAGCTACGACGACAAAAACAACTCCTTTGCTTGTGGTTTGTGGAAAAAGTGGAGTAGAGAAACAAAAATTCGGATTTTATAACGCGGTCACATCTGATAGCTAAATAGCCAACGAATTCCACAAGTGCATATCTGCTTAAACACTTACTTCCAGAAGATCATCGATTTATCAAGTCAGTATTTTTGCCATCCGAGAAGCATCCGGTAGCAATTTTCCAACCCCGGATAGATGGAGGGCTCCGGAAATAACCAACGACCAATTTTAGTGAGTTTTCCAGGGCACCTCTAACCACTACGCTGAACGGTCTCCCTTCAATAATTATTGAAATAATGTCTAATATAGTGTAATACAGTACCGCCTGTAACGCTGTTGAGAATCCAGTGATTCCAACTACGTCCCTCCCACAATTTTGAAACGCTGAAATCGTTATGGGGTCCATTTGCTCAAAAGACAGAAAAATACACCATTTAGAGACAGGCAAGACGAAGGACTCGGATGGTGTGGTGGTGAAGTGCACTGCTCCTCGGTAAGAACAACAGCGCGTGTTCGTTCCCCACTGCATACACCTGCGGTCCGGAGTTTTGCAAATATCTCAGTATTTCATATACCATTTAGTTTTGCTAAACACCTTAAGGGAAAGCCTGATCACCGAGTTGGTGGTTTCTCATACTCTTACCACCATGTAGAGCTGATCTACAGCGGCTCTCTTCTAAACGACGATGCATTTGGTCCAATTCACCTTAAACATTGTGGTGTAAGCAATGATAGTTTCCTGTGCGGGTCGGAATGTCAAATTCCTACGTCCGCTCATGAGAAACGTGATACTCAACATCACTCTATCGTCATTGTGTTGGATGACACCGAACCCTTTCTCACGTTGTATGTATCACCCAGATTTCGAATGTATACGTTAATGTCAGAAAACTCGACTCAACTAATCCATGATAACCAAGGAGCCGGATGTTCCTTGTCCTCTCAGCTATGTCATTGAGTAGGCTCCACCCCCACAAGCCACTCGTTCCCTTCGAATCCTTCTCGTCTCTCATGAAAATCGATTTTTTTAGTTTTAACCTAAGACTGGTCATCTTATGTTTAGAATCAAGATTGACCAAGCTTCATCTCGCCTGGCTAATAGCTGATGTCACAAGACCGATGTCACTAGCAAGTCACAGACAGTGTGACTGCTGTTCATCATAGATTTTCACTCCCATGTTATCCCAGTTTATCCTCAAGAAAGGTATTAAATAGTTTTCATAAGATGCTATAGTCTTATCGAAGCCGTCATTATCAAGTTGATAGTAGTAATGATGTCATTGAAAAACATCGAAATTGTAGTCGCGAAGAAGGTATCAGGTAGAAATAAAGCAGCTCCATCTATTTTGTAAGGGAACACTGATATCATATTTCGAAACCGACCTTCCCTAAACCTCGGTGTGACTAATCAATATGTATTCTTTCTTGATAAGCTTGCACGAGGTTGATAAATATAAATAAATAAATAAATAAATAAAAGAGCACCACTGGGTGAGTGTGCCTCATTCGAGAGTGCTGCTCCACTGAGGAAGATAGGGATCGATGCGAAGGCGAAGATGCCACGTCGAGAAAGAACAATTGTGGGCCATCCACCCGGATCATCTTCTCTTAAATGCCAGACGTCGAAACGTCAGCCGAATAAAAAATTATTTATCAATTCGTGTAAGCTTATGAAAGAAAGATTACATATGGACTGGTCACACCCGAAGTTGAAGCAAAGACGATTTTAAAATAAAATATCAGTCTTAACCATTTTATTTACTGCCTACTCCTTTTAACTAGATTGTGATTATAACTACAGCCTCAGCTTAACCGGGTTTATTGCCGATTTGAGCTCTCCAGACCAATCCCGCTGACGTGTGATTACTGATGGCAGTGGCCGACAGAACTAGCTGAGAGACATGCGAAACGAAGGACCCGCATGGTGTGGTGGTGAACTGGTTAGCCCCCGGAAAGGGTAATAGCGCGTTCGTTCCCCACCCCAGACACCTACGGTCCGGAGTTTTGCCAATATCTCAGCATTATCTTAGTTGTTTTTCACATTACACCCTGCCGTTAAAAATTATAGTAGGCAGTAAATAAAAAAAGGTTAGGTGTGTGAACACAGTTTTTGAGTGTGATATTTACACAATATTTAAGCCTGTTATTCTAATGTAAGAGAGGCACATTTTGTTTCTATGTGAACTTTGTACAGTTGGTCTCCACGTGAGATATTCGGTGGAAGACTTATAGAATATGCGGAGATGTTTTTTTGTGTTCAATGTGATTGAAATCTTGGTTTAGCACTTTCTATGCATAGTTATGGAGGTGTTTGGCTGGGTAGATTGCAGTCAAATTTACTTTTGCAGGCTCTGAGGAAGGCAAAATCCGCCGAGAAGTCAACTTGTTTATAAATAAAGGATAAATCAATAACGTCGTGTTTGCTCGTCAAGAGGACAATGAATTATTTGATCAATGCTAGGATTCTGTTAGTCGTAGGAATATAACTGTAAGTGCGAGTAATTTTCATCAGTTGCAATCTCGTTAATCATCGAATGACACAAATGGGCAGCACAAGTAAATTCTTACGTTCTTCCTAGCCTAACATCAAAACTTCTCGCAACGAATGACACCTATAGGTGTCAAGATGGTCTTGCCGGAATGGCCGGTAAGAGACCTATAGGTGCCATATGCTTTGCAGTGATTTATTTAGTGTGCAGAAGTTTTTCATCTTTTTAATAGTTTCTCACTTAACAATTCACAAAGGACCTCTTTCTGGAAATTAGGGGTCACTGCGAAAGTGTTAAGGCTCTGTTCACACGAGACACAATAACAGCGATAACTTTCGGTGTGTAAGCCACCATTTTTCCCGTTTGTAACAATTTTAGCCTTAGGTAACAAGCCGTATTCTTCTCTACGATAGGCTAACTCTTTGTTAGGCTTTCCGGAATTCCTCCCAACCTCAGGCTGCGCTTCCAAAGGATATGTCTTCTGGTGCACGTCATAACAAGGTTCCAAACCGACGACATAGAGCATAATATGTGCGAAAAAAGTAACCAATCAATAGAGAGGCAATAAAAATCGGTAATGCATTGCAATGAAGTGTTTAAGAGGAACTGTACTTTTGAAAGTCCGCAATATTCACCGTGACGTCTGATTTGAAATTTCGAGTGTGGAAATATCGACATGCTTGACGTGAGATTGTTTTTCCCATATAAGCGATCTGCAAGCTAATTGCTGTTAGTAACGCTTCGTTCTCTTCTCATTTCATCTACACATAGAGCTAAACCTGTGATCGAATGGATGTAGCCAACATTGTCTCCAAAAATCTCCCTTTAGCCTCGGCACGACTAAATGGCATGTATTCCTTTATTGATAAGCCAACGCGAGGTTGCTAAATAGCTTTATTCTGCTAACAATTCGACAACTTGCTACTTTCTTCATTTGACAGTTGCTCTAATTGATTCAACTTCATGCAATCACGAAGACACATATCGGAACGAGGAACGACTGTGGGCAGTCGGATCAATCCGGCTCTGAGGAAGGCCAAGGCCCCGAATAAAGGTTTTATCAACCTCATGTTGGCTTATCAATGGGAAAATACCTAGAGCGAACAGTACTTCCTATGTGGCCTAAATGAAGATGAGTGCACTACTAAACTTGTTGCAGCCTTGAAAACAACTGGGTTGAAATCATCCTACAGACTTAACCAATTAAGTGTTAATCATTTCCGTTTATCTCTTTTCTGTTTCTTTTTTCATTTTTATTTTGAAGTTACCAAATGGGTTACGTGATCGTCCATGCATTGGAGATGCCCTGCGTGGTTAGCGACAGGCAATGGAAGAAGCAAAGCAAAAGCATTTAGGAACGTCGAAGTCGATCGACTCATCGTGGAGCATGGAATTTCCCACTAGACAAAACATTGCTCCATAATAATGTGATGATTAGACTTCATCACGCTACGCTTCGAGAAGTATGGAGAAATTTTCACCGGGATGACAGCAATCGGAATGCAAAGCATCGGTATTGATTGGTTCCATGAACAAGACGGTATTACTGTTATACGAAATTGCTGATCAATTCGAAATGTCATCATTAATGGCGACCGATTTTCTCGATGGAATTCGATCCCCTTTCATGGTGGAACTTCAGTTTTCTCTTGTTATTTTTTCGTTCAAATCCGTTCACACAATAGGCCAATAGTAGTTGTTGTACAATTTTTATTTGTCACATCAAGCGCTCAATCCATTTCCCGTGTGGGACACTTCCAAAGAAAAGAGAATATTCTGGTATTGCCAGATGACTCGAGCTTCTTCTAATCTCTGGATTTACAGTGACTTTACTGGTACACTAGTTTCTCAGTGAAGCAAGCAATTACTCGATGGAAAACTTCCTCAGATCACTTGAACACCAGGTTTTCAGTCATTTTTATAACTGATTAAGTGTTCATCAGTTCATCACGAAGAATTGTCACCTGATTTCGTTCTTTCTTTTGTATTCGTCTAAATATTTGCCTTTTTCCGCTATTATATCACTTACCTTTGGCAAATCTTACTCAGGGCTATGTCCGTTCCATAGTCTAAATCGATCTAGTGGAACGAATAGCCGTTCCACATGGGGAGTGTAAGAATTTGTTGGTTTATTGCGTCATGAATTGTTTATTGAATTACATTTTGAAATAAATTATGGATTCTTGCATGCGGAGCTGTCAGTCTTTCATTGTATTGACATGTTGGCGTTTTTCTTTCCTTTCATTCATTCTACTTTGCAATTGATAAGATGAGAGTGTATTTCTTCTGCTGGCACTTTACCTTTCCTTATCCTCTTCCCAGCCGCCATATTCTTCTTTTGCTTACCATTGCTTATCCTTCTTTCCTGTTCCTGTTTGTTGTCTAATCGATGAAAATTTCGTTCAGGAGAGAAAGCCGATGAATCTGCTTCTGACGGCGACGTGGTCTTTTGAGAGATTAGTGCTTAAACATCAAGTCAAACAAATCGTAGTATTGGCTGTAAAATGGCCGATGTTTTCAGGAAATAAGTTTACTTTTGTGCTTTCTTTATTGTTTTTTCCTATAATAGTAGCCGAATGGGTCATACGTACCATGTTTGCCTTTATACTAAGGTTCTTTTTGTTTTGCTTTGTTTTCCCTTTACACTTGACGCTGCTTGGGCCGAAAGCCCCTACATAAATTTCCCATAGTCGTCAAGTGATGACGTGATTCTCTTAAGAAAACGATCTGAAGTGAGATTTGTGTTTTTATCATATCTTCTTACCTCATGTTTCAGCACCATAAGTTTTTTCCACTTATTTTCTTTCCCCACTTTAAAGTTGTTGCTGTTCTGCAATGTTTCCAACACCAGTGCTGACTACCCAGTGGAAGAGTGTGAAATCTACAACTTTTATCTTTTCCTCGACCGACTTTCTATTAAACTCGTCATTAATCAAATAATTCTTTATATTCTTATTGAGCAAACAAGAGGTGTTGTTCCATTATTTATCTACGAACAGACTGACACTTCGGCGGACTTCGTCTTCCTTACGATTACCTTTGTCTGTCATTAAGCCTGATAAGCCCTCTTGATAGAACTTTGCTTCCGCTTCGCCGTTTCACCGTCATCGCCTTTTCGAAAGCTGTGATTGTTCCAGTCGTGTAAGTTCGACATTCCTTTCGTTACGAATCTTCCCAATAGAAGGGAAATGCCCTCACAAGGCTTACAAGAGTCTCATGTAAGCTTTTCAGTAAGCCAAAGTAATAGTTATCCATGCTGAGTTTAAAAGAGAGTCGGTATTGAAAACATTGTTGTCCACTTCTAGTAGTGTTTTTAATTTATTTAAGCTTTTTTATCTCAGCTTATAGTGTTCCCCGTTAGGAATTCGCTATCAATACGTCAAGTTACAAGTTGCTTTCTTGTTCTCATCGTCTTCAGCTCTTTCCTCTAAACCACTCTTCTATTTTTATTCGCTTTCTGTGAATTTTCCATGTAAATGAGAAGAAATCGACGGATTTGCTCTTATCGCTGTTATGTTTACTGAGATAATAATCTATGGTTGTCGCGCTCCACTAAAGTTTCTAATTTTTCTAGAAACAAGGACACTCATGGAAGCACTGAATTGACGCGGAGCCCTTCGGCCATTTGTTACACAACGTTTTCTATTTGTACTATGGGAATTCCATCAAGCATGAAGCTATTATTCGTTGCCGGTATATCGTTGGTAGTGTTCTTCGTGCGAATCCAGTCATCGTCAAGCGGTCTTATCGAATCGGAAATGGGATTTTCAGCCAACAAGACTGATGTCTTCGGGTTGGTTCTCTTTTCGACGTTTCATAGATAGGCATTCACCACTGATTTGACTTGGATGTATTTATTCAAATCAATCCCGTTGACGGGTGATTGCTGATAACACTTATAGGTCAATAACACAGCTGAGAAAGGTGAAAAGAAGGACACGCATGGTGTGGTGGTGAACGCGTTAAACCTCGGAAAGGGTACTAGCGTGTTCAGTGCTCACCGCAGGCACCAGCGGTCCGGAGTTTTGCAAATGTCTCAGCATCATTATGGTTGTACTTATTCTATTGATGTTCCTTATTTTTTAATCTTAGTAACGCAATCGATTCTAACACGTCGAGCATTGAACAGCATGGAGCTGCTATTGTTGGGACTGAGGCCGAGGAAAAACGACGTTCTCTGGTATGTTCGGTTTTCCACACACAGAAGTATTTTTGCCAGTTCTTAAGCGAAGTTTGAAGTCTTATTAGATGGTAATTCAACCTATCAGCTTATTTTGAGGACGATTCGTTAACAGTTCTACTTGCCATCGAAAAGAGTCTGATGTTGTTCCATAGTCTTCAAAACTTGAATTTTCTTTACAAATCACAACTCGTGTTCTGTTGTGGTCTAATTTTATTTTACTTCTGACTGCGACGTCATCTTTCAGGCTATCTTTTTCATTTTGTTCGTTCTCGTTCTTGCCATTCTAGTCGTACATATGTTGATTATTTCGAAAATTCACTTTATCCCTGAGAGTCTTGCTATTGTAATTCTCGGTACGTCTTTTGTCCTTTTTGCTTTCTTTCTTTCTGTTTTCTTTCTTTTTTTCTTTCTGTTACCCTGTTTTTAAGTAATTTTCTTTCTAAATTTCAGGCGCAGTTGTTGGCTCAATACTCTCTTATTCAAAGAACGACTGGAGTGAAATCGAAGCTTTAAGTCCTGGTCTGTTCTTTCTTCTCCCATGTGTGTCTCACTTTTTTTCTTTTTTTTTGCTTTCATAGCCGGAAAAGGTTTTTTAGACATGTTTTTCCTAGTCCTGTTGCCTCCGATAATCTTCGAAAATGCATACAATTTAAATAAAGGATACTTCTTCTCTAATATTGGACCAATCCTCTCTTTTGCCATATTGGGTACTGCAATATCCGCACTTGTTATCGGGTTTTCACTATATATACTTGGCCAAGTGGGTTTTCGTCCTCGTCATTTATTGTGATTTATCACCTTTTTGCTAAGCTGGACTTTTTATCTGTCATAGCTTTTTTTATTTCAAAACCGTACTGTATAGGCCGACCTGGTTTACGAGTTCTCAGTCTTTGAATGCTTTGCGTTCGCATCCACAATATCCGCTGTTGATCCTGTAGCTACTTTAGCAATTTTTCAAGCTGTGAAGGTGAATCATCACTGAGGAGCTTCATTTAGATTTCCAGGAATGTTTCGGTTTCTGTCGTTATAGGTGGAAGGTCTGCTGTATATGCTGGTATTTGGAGAGTCAATGTTGAACGATGCAGTTTCAATCGTGTTCGCTGCAACAGCTATTCGCCATTCACGTCCACCGTTGAATAGGTAAACTTTCTCCTCAATCAGTTTTGCAGTGGTGCATGCAAACGGTTTTCTTGTATTTCAGCCTTGATCCTACTGAAATTCTTCTTAGCGTGTCACTGACTTTCCTGGCTATGTTCACGCTTTCAGCATTTCTTGGATTAGTGATTGGGTTACTTAGTGCTCTTGTATGTTTGTGATTCTCGTATTTCTTCTTTGAGCTTTTTGACATGGTTTCGATAACTTATTTTCCAAATCCTATTTCTTTTAGATGTTTAAGCATGTTGATCTGCGAAAGACACCATCTCTTGAGTTCGCACTTCTTCTGGTGTTCGCTTATATCCCATATGGGTTTGCCGAAGCAGTCTCATTATCGGGTATTTCTAGCATTGGGTTTTGCCATGAAATTTACGTGATTTTCTGATATTTTTACATTTGGTTTCAGGTATCATGGCTATTTTATTTTGTGGAATCACAATGTCACAGTATACACAGCAGAATATCAGCCCAGTTACTCAAATCACTTTCCGACAAACATTTCGGACCATTTCGTTTGTGGCTGGTTCGTCATTCTTCCTAAATGTGAAAAAGCAGTCTTTGAGAAATATCACTGGGAATTTTTTATTTTGTCGAAAAACCGACTTTCATTAGGTTCTATAGAAGATAAAAAAAATTTCATTTTTTGTTTTGATGGAGTTAAAAGTCACACTGATTTTTCGTTCCAATTAGTTCTGGAAGTCATTTCAGAGACGTCGACATTTGCTTACATAGGAATGGCGTTTTTCACCATCAAACTCAATTTCCAACCATCTCTTATCTTTTGGTGTATAGTGAGTTTCTAAAACTACTGTTTGGCTTTATATTCGTATGAATTGGTTACTTTCTCTGCAGGTGTTATGTCTGGTCAGCCGAGCCCTGAATATTTTTCCGATTTCATATGCTGTAAACAAGTGTCGCCGTGAAGTCCAGATTTCTATGAAAAATCAGATCGTGCTTTGGTTCAGTGGTTGGTTATAGAATTGTTTCAAAACTTATTGGAAGCTTGGTTTTAAAGTTATGAGATGTGGTTAAATAGTTTCAGCACCAATTCTATTATCCATATCTCTATATTGTATCATATTCGGAACAATATGAGTCGTATTTGACCCATTAATAGTAGGAAATAATTTAGCATTTCACCGTCGGATAAGTAAATCTCAACTCTTAATTTCCTTTACTACCTTAAAATCACTTCCATTCATAGTTTTTTTTCCCAGTGAAATTCAAGTTTTATTATTCTATCATGCAACAATGAGTTCGATCTTCTGTAGTCTCTTTTTGTTTTTGACGATAAGGGCCGTATCCCATATTTCCGGTAGCAATGGAATTCAACAAGCTGAATTTTATTCACTAGGTTTCGGATTTTATACTCCTGAATTCGCTGCTGGTGTTTCTGTCTGCCACTCTTGGCAATTTCACAGCACTGAAAATTTCTTGAACTTGGGAAGAGTTTAAGGTGAAAATGATGTTTTAGAAAAGCTTTTAACGCCGTTTATAACAGTAGAGAAGTCTCTGCCAATTTTTCAGCTCCTAAGCTGCTCTTGTCATAGAAATAATAGGCAGTTGACGGAAAACGAGCATTGTCGTGTGTCAATGTATAGTATAGCATAAAGTGTAAAGCTCTTGACGTTGACCAATCCCTAAGGGATGTGCCATGCATTTTAGTTCATTAGGCATCATTAGAGGTGATTAGATGCATATCTGGCTTCTATAATGGTTCGCCGTGTGCTACGGAAATATCGAGTCAGTGTCGCAATCGTCCGAGATATGAGCGATGGAGGGCTTGGTGAACTTGGGGCGCAAGATCGATCCATGTGTATTGTTGGATACCTTTAACCATTGCGTTACGCGCACTGGTCGATGTATATCAACACAAATTTCTTGACTTAGTGATGTGTTGGTTTTGAAGTTTGGTGTTCATTGCGTCTGTTAATTTCCTGGATCGTCTGCAAGAAAACTATCATTTAACGGGATGTTTCCTCGGACATTGAATTTCAGGAATGCGTGGTGCTGTTTGTTTTGCTCTTGTATTATACATGGAAGTTGAGAAGGAGAAGAAGTCCGTTATTTTGACAACGACGCTGTTTCTCATTCTTTTCACAACTCTGTTTCTTGGTGGTACCGTAATGCCATTCATTTCATTCATAAACAAATGCTATCCTGATGAAAGACCTCGTAGAAGAAGAAGAAGGACAAAGAAAGGAAGAGATGGTGTGATGATGAGCAAAACGAAAGAAATGGTATGTTTGTTCGAACTTGCGTATTCCATGTCGATTTTTCTTTATGAACAAGTTTTTATTACTTGATGCTCGAGTAGCGATTTATTCTTCCTGTTGAATCTCAATTTCTTGATGGCACAACATTTTTGTGGATTCTTCAAGATATTTTTAACATTTACTTGCTCGTTTGTTCTTTGCACGTGATTATGTTCGAGAAAACCAGACTACATTTGGAAGTGATGAATGGACTCCGAGGCGAAGTGATACATCAGATAGATCATCAACAGCTGCTGGAAGAGTAATGCAAAGATTGTTCGTGCGCCGATTTACCTCTACGGAAAGGCAGGAGAATAGAGAAAAACTCACGGCGTTGACGCGTAAAGTTTTGGACAACGACGGTGGGACCGAGAGTGAAGTGAGTTTGTTTCCCTAACGTCCATGTTTCAGTCCTTCACCGTTTTGTGGAAATCCCTTCATAAGTGGCTGTAAACATGCCTTGTTTTCTAATGCATTGCTAGGAGCAGTTTTATAGTTTGATAATGTAGTTTTTATAGTTTTTTGGCCTTGGTTTCACAATTAGTGCAAATGATGACAGGAAGGGAAGGTGAATCCTTATTGTTGATTTCTAGGTGGACGAATGCGCTCCAGGCACTCCGCTGCTTGATTCCGTTGCCTCCGAAACTTAATTTTTTGAATCTTTTACTCGTATGAATCCTCTCATTTTGCATATTCAAAGATATCTAGATAACAAGCTCCATTGTATAGTTCTTTATTTCCTGTAGTCTGTTAGTGGTATAACTTTCCTATAGCTCTTTTAGTAACATAAAGAAATTAACTGCTTTTATAGTGTAACATTCCCTTTAGATAGTCTTTTTTCACCGTTACTATGCATTTTAAAAACCGGTTTAATGTTTTCACTGGTGTATTTCCTTTATTTTAAACAAACAGGTGTAATGAGACAGTGTGATTTATTACTTAAGTAACAGCAAATGTAAGTACTGTACTAAGTGCCTCAATGTATAGTAAATGGTATGAAACCTTGTTAAGTAACTAATACACAAACGCTTTAATGAGTGAACTAATTTATTTGTGTCGGACCTATATTTCGAAGTAAAGATCTTAAGTGCAGTTGTGTATAGACGAGATGATGGTCAGAATTACAGCGGATAACAATTATTATGCTTCTATTCAGCAGATGGCTTAATTTGAGCTGACTACGAGATCTCTTTTAATTGACTGATCGACATCAGATCGTCTTACTACTCGACGAGGAATGATGTTCACTGATGTGCGGCAGGCATTTCAAATCCACCGTTTCCACCAATGAAGCGCTGACTTTTTGTCTTCACCTTGAATCCCACGTCGTCGCCAGCTTTCCAAGTGTTCGGTATTTTGAACATTGTGTCCCATTCGTCCCTAGATAAGTCTTACTTAAGCATAGATTTTTAAGTATTCGGTTTTCTAAAATAAGTTTATTTTCAACGCTTCCATGTGTTTCGTATTAGCTCACATTAATGATTTGCCATACGAAGAAATGCTTGCTAAATATCCCTCAAAATGTGAGTTTTCGAATGGAGTTTTGATCTCGGTATAACATGACATCTATAAACAATCAACATATAGACGTCTTCGTCTTCTTCAGAGCTCATGATCCGGGTCAATGGTCGACAGTTTTTCGCCTTCTCGATGTGGCGTATTCGTTTACGTATGGACTCGGGTCTTCGTCAATGGAGCATTGAGTGCAAAGAGCACAACAAAAACCCCAGTGCATCAGAATAAACGGCCGTTTGAAAAGAGGAATTTACATCAATGCATGCCAGCCGACCTGCCCCTCCTATCCTCCTGACTTCAGTTCTCCTCCGAGCTATATTTTGCACCATATTTTTGAGATTCGTAATCTAAAGTTTGTATAGGCCGTAGGATGCACTATTTCTTAGAACTTCATGGTGTATAGAATTGCTGACAGCTGACATGACTTAGTGACACTCGTATCGTAGAGATTCCAATGGACATACCTTGCTCTTCCTTGAGTAGAATAGGCAGTACTGACGGCTGGCATAGTCGGATCCAGAGATGGAAGAACAAAACGGGTGCCGATTCCGGGGATTTCCTTTTCGGTGGCACCGACCCACCGTAAGCGAGTGTGTCGTCCTTTTGGTGTCCACATCATCGGTGGGACTGGTCGTTCTTCAATGATCTGGAATGGAATGGATAATTGTGAACATTATTCTAAAACAATTTACTATGTATTATAGTAATAGTACAGTATTTGCTGATCTTTGCAGTGCCAAAGAATAAATGGCTAGTTATTATATTTATAACAACTTCGTGTAAGGCTTACGAATATAGGGAAGTATTCGTTATTCATGCTGGGGTTAAATCAAAATCTGTTTTCTAAGTAAATAATTACTCCCAAGTCCGAGTTTCTATTAACCTCGGTATTGATTGAATAATTCTTTCTAGTTCTTTTCAGCAAACACGAGGTGTTACTTAATTTCTTTATTTACGTACAAGCTGACGTTTGCTATCCGTCAAAAATCCATGTTTTTTCTTTCCTTCCCCTAATTTCTACAATTTTCGGTTGCGAATGAGATGTTGGTGTGTAATCCCCATGCCGGTCTCATTCTGTCAACTGGCGCTGGTGCAAGAATTTCAATTCAGTACCTCTGGACTCTACAAAGAAGACGGAGAGAAGAATTATCATCGCATTTCCGATTTCTTTGACATCGAGGTGATTTTAAATCATAATTCGACTGGCGTCCTTTAAAAAGAAGAACAATTTTTTTTTCGGGATGGAGTTTATGATGATAATTCTACGTTTTTTTTTATGAGGGCGCGTTCGGCGTACTGGTCGGAGGATCCCTGCACTACACACGTGGAATCGTTCCCGGTGCCCATGGCTCACAAAGCCTTCCATCCCTCCGGGGTCGGCAAATTGGTAGCAGACTTGTCTGGGAGGATAGCATCACTGGCTCGATACATCGGTAGGTCATCGTGAGTCATTGTAAAGGCCAGCTGTGCATTCAGTCACCTCCAAACGATGCTTAATGAAGTCGAATGCATGGAACATCGCTCAGGGATTGATCAACGCCAAGAGCTTTATCCTTTTATCCTTCACTATTTAGTAACAATTCATTGTCACACTTCTATTCTGAAGCCAACTTAGTTGCTACACTATCTCGTGTCGTGAGACCTCAGTCCTGTGCGCTGTTTGTCCGTTGTGCTGGTGTTTTAACAAATTCACTCTCATTTCTGTCTCCGTTCTGCATGAAGCTATGAAATTTTTCCCTAATGACCAATCGCTGAAGAATAATCGCTTATAAATGGTTTCTGTTGCGAACGAAACGTTACACAACTGTGAAAAATGACCTAGTTTTCATTTAGCTACACTGTAGCAAGGGGGCAGACGACACAGTGGTAACGGCGGAGATCATCACGAGCACGGCGCTAGTTCGACCTCGCCGTGGGATCACCAAACTACTTATTCTTCTAGTGTCGGCTAATCGGTACCAGAGTTGTCTGGGAAAAGCTCATTCGTTGCAATGCATGTGGGAGCACTCTAGTTCACTGCCTCAGGACTCCAGAGGGAGTCGGCTTGACCAGCATTTAACATCATTCATGACGAAAGGAAAATCCTCAAGCAGCAACCCAACCATAAAGACGAAGAGTTCGGAGACCTTCGTGGAAGGCGAATGCTGGGCAACGAATCGAATGCAAATAATGCTAGGATCCGTGCAGTAGATTTAAAGATGGGTCGTGTGAAACAAATACATTTTAACCACAACGTTGCTGAAATATTTGCAAAACTCTGGACCGCAGGTGTCTATGGTGGGGAACGAACGCGCTATTGTCCTTTCCGGGGAGTAACGCGTTCACCACCACACCATGCGGGTCCTTTGTTTCGCCTGTCTCTCAGCTATTTCTATCGATCTTTGCCACAGCAATCACCCGTCAGCGGGATTGATCTGGGGCGCCCAAATCGGCATAGAACCCAGTTAAGCTGCGGCTGTAGTTGAAATCACAATGTCACCTTTTTATTTTCTGCCTACTATAATTTCGCGGCAGGGTACTAAGCGAAATACAACGACAACGTTGCTGAGATATTTGCAAAACTCTGGACCGCAGGTGTCTATGGATTGCTGTGGCAAAGATCGATAGAAATAGCTGAGAGACAGACGAAACAAACGACCCGCATGGTGTGGTGGTGAACGCGTTACTTCCCGGAAAGGACAATAGCGCGTTCGTTCCCCACCATAGACACCTGCGGTCCAGAGTTTTGCAAATATCTCAGCAACGTTGTGGTTGTATTTCGCTTAGTACCCTGCCGCGAAATTATAGTAGGCAGAAAATAAAAAGGTNCATGCGGGTCGTTTGTTTCGTCTGTCTCTCAGCTATTTCTATCGATCTTTGCCACAGCAATCCATAGACACCTGCGGTCCAGAGTTTTGCAAATATCTCAGCAACGTTGTGGTTGTATTTCGCTTAGTACCCTGCCGCGAAATTATAGTAGGCAGAAAATAAAAAGGTATAACAAATACATTTTATTTTATCTTAAGAAAGTAAAATGCAGAATAGCGACACTTTTAGTGGTAGTTAGATTTGTTGGAACTGATTTTTGCCTGTAGTATTACCAGTCTACCTGCTGACTACCGGCGAGACGTCAGCAAAACTTCCATTCATTTCTGTCATGTACGATTTAGAAGACCCGAAAAACAGCGTATCTTTCCAGTGTTTATGATGAAATCTCAGGAAGGAGCCGATTTCGTCGTTCTTTAGTATCCCATTGAGTACAATCTATGCTGGCTTTTCTTTAACGATAATCGTTGAAGCGCCTAACGTAATCTGACTTGAGTATAATTCTTGTGAACGACGGTCAAGAAGAAGGTGTTAGGTAATAGTTGCTGACGTCCTGTAGGCTCGTGTAACAAAACCTTTCTTCTGTTCCTAAATTAAAAAGACAATTTGCATTCTAAAGGGTTGGTTATGCGATCCAGAGTCAATTCGTTGATTGTGACTTCATTAGGTTCTGTACTTGTTCTGGTCTTACCCTGAATGCATTGTGCAATATGCGATCTTTCACCGGCAGAACACAAACTTTGGTGGGTGGAATAACTACAATGACGTATCTATCCTTCCTGAGATAACGTGATATTCTAATAAGTGGGAAAAGCTGTCGTAGATAACCTTTTCTGCTGCCTTTCTGAGTGAAGTGATTGCTCGACTGTGGCATTGATAACGACCATTGTGAACACTATGAGTCTTCTACTAAATATGTCAAGCGGTGACCAACTGCACAGAGTTCACATGGAATCATAATGCGTCCCTCTCATCAGAATAACAGGCTTATATACTGCCCAATATCACGCGTGATAATGAGGCATTCCTCCCTGCGGTTCATTTTTTGCGCGCTTGTGTTTTCGATTCTTGCGCGAGGATCGTAACCCTTCAAAATCTACCACAGGTACTCCAACGATAACTCTAGTGACAATAGGATCCCCTTTATATTGCCCTTCATTCCAAATGAAGTGCAGCTATAAAACGCTGTTTAAGAAGGGCCGGTCTAGAGAATTCGGTAACAATAATTGAAATGCCACCGAGTAATCTAAGGCGCCACCTAGTTCGTAACCGCCTATACGACCGTCTATGTGCAACGCAAAATTGCATAAGTTGCCCCAATGGTAGAGACGGTGACTGCATGAGTTCGGGTACAGTCTATCTGATCTCTTGTAAAGCGTGCGGGGACCAATACATTGGCGAAACGGGTAGACCGCTCTACGTCCGCATAAAAGAACACCTAGCCGGCAAGCATAAACCAAATACCCCGCTACGTACGTATAGGACCTAGGGACATAACGGAGAGGATTTTGAAGTAAGGGTTACGATCCTCGCGCAAGAATCGAGAACACAAGCGCGCAAAACTCTAGAGGCATTCTGGATTAATTCCAAGAATCCGAAAATAAACCGCAGAGAGGAATGTCTCATTATCACGCGTGATATTGGGCAGTATATAAGCGTGTTATTTTGATGAGATGGGCTCAATACGATTCCGTGTGAGCTCTGTCCGGTTGGTCTCCACGCGACATACTCAGTGGAAAACTCATAGAAAGCGGTGAGTGTGCAAAGACTCTGTGTTCAATGTGATTGAAATTTTGGTTCAGCATTTTCTCTGTTTGGTTATGGAGGTGTTTGGCCGTGTAGATTGTAGTCAGCTTGACCTTTCCAGGCTCTGTGGAAGGCAAAATCCGCCGAAACGTCAGCTTGTACGTAAATTAAGTAACACCTCGTGTTCGCTGAACAGAAGTAGAAAGAGTAGAAAGAATTATTCAAACAATTACTGTTGCTAGAAGTTGTCAGTGTCTTGTCGAATTTTAGGTCGAAAACTTTACATGTTGGTCGTTTTTTTTTCTCCCTCTCTAACTCCGTGCTATCAGTTTATTTCAACAATGAGTTAGCCCCTCTTCATGGTGACATCTACAAGCTTCACTCGGTAATTCTAAATACCGTTAAGGTACAAATATGCTGCCGTTTCTTGTCGGTCACCTCCACTTCCGTTCTCTCATAGTTCAACTGTACCATTTTTTGTAGATGTATAACTATTTGAACATCTGGAAGAGATATTCGTCGAAAGTTGTAACTTTGAATTGTATAATGCTGTATGTGTCAGTCACAGTTTTGCTTTTAACGCAACTCATTCTCATATCTACCATGCGAATCTCAGCTTTTCTTTCATTCGATTCGTCTACTGACATCTACCATTCACGAAGGGCTCTTAACTATCTAAGTATGGATCCGGATGCTGTTTGACGATTGTCGTCTTTTTTTTCATGAGTGCCGTTGAATGCTGGTCGAGACGGTTTTCCCTGAAGTTCTAGAATAGCCGCGCTAAACCATCCAACTTGGATTGCAGGGAGTGGTCTGTTTTTAGCAGATATCCCGACGCCGGAGGAATGGCAACCTTGATGAGGCTTGTGAGGGCTCAAACCAGCAACATGCTCCTGATGAATGGCATCATCGCCACTGGGCTACCCACTCCTACCAGTTACATTTCAAAAGCAATCTTCAAACGTTCTGTAGTAGGGAATTCTGACATAAACCATCAATGCGTCAGCCTCGCTTCTTCGGATACTTTCCATTTTTTGAAGATGATCAGAGACCGCAGTGGAGAAGTCATATGGTTGCGGTGAAAATATAATAGAAGTCTGATAACGTTCTGCCAGTATCTGAGCTTCTGCACAGTTGCATTTCACTACTTTCATTTCACTATTCGCAAGATTTGCTAGAGTTCATCCAAAGTCTTTCATCCAGAGTCTCCAACTCCTGATTGCTATCCCAATCAGAGTTTCGTGGCGAACAGTAGGAATTACCATTTTTCCAACAATTATGTTGTAATCTAGTTATGATGATTGCAGAAAGTAAGCAGATGGAGTGAAACATTTACACTATCATTTCTCCATCATTTCCTCTTTATTTAGCGTGTGCAGCACAGTGGTCGGAGGTGCCCTGCAATACACATGGGATCGATCCTAACGATCCAAGCTCAGCAAACTTTCCATCCCTCCGGGATCGGCAAATTGGTACCAGACTTATCTGGGAGGATAGCAGTACTGGCTTGGTACATCAGTAGGCCACCGCTCCCATACCGCGTATTGTTTATCCTCATCGTTTCTACAAGATGATGAGAAGTAATTGATCAACCTAACCGTCTGGTGAACCAGAGAATGGAGACGGAATATGGATATGAACATTGGTACATAAGGTGAACGATCTGGCTCTTGTCAACGAAGGCAAGCTCCTTCCATTCTCATCACCATTGATATTCTCACAGTAGCATTCCAAATACGTACCTTTGTCTGGAACTATTTAGCCCTGTCGAATATCAGATTTGATTACCTGTTATCGCTCATTTGATCACCTAGTAATGGTTAAGGGTAAGGGCATGCTACCTATGAAATAACAAGCCTGGACCCTTGTTGATCAAGCATGTTCCTTTCATTGATGACCTATGGCAGCCGTGAAAGTATGTTCTCGAATGGTTACCACAGCTAGCTGTTAAAACATATGGATCGAAGAGAGGTTCAACGTCCGTCGGCTAGGTAGCGATTCCTGACTAAAGCTTACCCTCAGTTGAACTTTTCAACAACCGATGGTTCTATTCTTCGGCTCTCATAAACTATTAGTTAAATTTGTACAGGTTTAGGCTTATCTCTTGTGTTAGTAACGTAGTATCACACGTTCTCACGACTATTAACCTATTTCCTTGGTGTCTGAAAGTGTATTTTTTAAATAAATTTTATGGAATACCTGAGATATTTTGCTGTCTATGGGATGGTAGGTTTTCATTCCAAACAGACGTGGATAGGCCTTAATCTGCTTCACCGGCTTCTTTCCTTTCTGTTCAGGTGTTAGAATCTCTCTAAGAAAATCCCTCTTTTCAGTAGGTCATATTTAATTCAGAAAACTGTTTTATTCGGCAATTTACAACGTCCATTGTGCTTCTCATGGATGCTTTTCTATTCGTTACTAAGTTTTCTTCTCATACTTTGGCAAAATTGCAGTAAATTGGTCTGTGCTATTGTTTATACTTCCAAGTTTACCGCCTCATAGTGGCTGGAAGGTGTTCTTCGGTTGGGTGTTGCGCTACGATGTACAGCGAGGGATTCGTCTCCCGGCAGGGCCCCAGAAGTACGGACAGTGAGGAAATGGTTGAAGACATACTTGGTTGTCATGCAGTTGCAGCAGTACACAAGACGACTATTTCTATAGAATGGATTCATTTTTGGAAAACTACTAACCGGATGGCATTCGATTCGACTCTATCAAATCTTTTTTGTCATAGTCGAGAAATGTCAACAACACAAAAAGTAACGTATCACGTTTGTAGTAGGTCTTAAGGAAAACATGTAGGTATCCCTTAAACAGCACTGTGTAAATATAATTCCGAAGTCCTTACGCTATTTTACAGCACCTTAGTGAGCAGCGTTCAAAATTTCTTTTTGGTTTAAAAGTAACAGATTGTAAACGTAGCCATTCGATAACTACACCAAACCTGCCAGTCAGAATCTCCTCCAAATTGCCGTCCATAAAAAGTGGTGCGATGTTTGGATTATTTTTCAAATTTGTCAACACCTAGAAATAAAAGCTAACTTTTTTTCTTCGAAACTTAGAAATTCTTTCCACGTCATTTTCTCATTCCACTCACTCTCGACTTTTGATTGGAGGAAACCAGTGGACGATCGACTTCCATCCGTCTGATTCCGCTTTCCTCATTTTCATTGATGCCAACCACAAGTGGTAGCATTTTTCTTGGTCTATAAAAGATATTACTGTTTGCTCTTTATTTTTATTGATAACAAGTGAAATAATTACCTCGTTGGTAGTTTTCTGGGCACGAAGAAACCCGGTTGTGGGTTCGGGTTTTTGATTAGCGGTTTTGGCATCAAGTACTTTTCTACATCATTAACCCTAAAGGAAAATTTCGCATCGTACGACTTTGTTACTAAAAGTTTTGGTTTGGCTTTATTTCTTTAACCTTTATTTTTCATGACCTACCGATATTTAATCTTTTCAAGTGCTGCTTTCACTTCTGGATGACTTTTTAATGATGCAACGAACGGTGATGATATCGACAATGGTGATCGTCGAATTGAATTCTCCTGGAGACAAAAAAATCGATAACTTATAGTCCTAAAGTCCTGAATTATTCAATCTTACCATTTCGTTCTCATCGTCATCGTCTTCATCATCATTACCGAACATCTCATTCAATCCCAGCACAAGCGCTGATTTAGGGTCAAGTTGAGGCTGAAGCGGACCATTTTCGTTGTGGTGATGACCGGTGGAAGAACTATTTCAGGAGAAAGATTTGGTTATTCAGATAGAACATAATGACCTATCCTCACGAAGAATCGTGCAGATTGCAGATAACAAGAATAAAAAAAGTCACTCGACGTCTTTCTGTCACTACATCGTCTCCATCGAAGGCAAGCGCACGACCATGCAGTGGTTGATCACGTAGCTTCTTGCTGCTCAACATCGACATCACTTCAGGATTCTTCAAATGTTGTTTGAATATGATAGGTATTTGAACATTAGGCAAATAGTCGTTTCAGTCGTTCGACTTTCACTTACTTGCTAGCCATCAATAACTTTTGTGTAGAGCTTTATAAAACGGCCACAACAACTTCCATTTGAATGGACATTATTTCTTTTTTCATGTTTTTTTCTTTATCTCTACGAGTTTCATGTTTATAATATTTACATGGTTGACAATTTTGCATATACCTCCAGAAGCGATCGTAGACGAGGGCTATTTCGTAGGCGATTCACCAGACTGCGTCTGGAGTCGTCGCGTAGTTGGCCGCCATCGAAGTCTTCAGGTGCTGAACGTCTTGGCGTTACGAGATCATCTTCGGACTCCGGCTCAGGAACTCGGTCATATGACTGCTGAAATGAGTCGACAGCGTAGTATGTTAACTATTGTGCGAAATCTTAATGTGGACGTTAAGAGCTCAAAATAATTTGCTTCATTGACGAACGGAGCCCAATTTTTCAGCTTAACAAGGAATCAAGAATCAAACGAAAATGTGTTTAATTGTTTCCTATTTGGATTGCTCCTTTAACATTTCCTTCCATAAAAGCTCTATTGTCGTCTGCTACTTGTCATTTCCACTTCAACAGTAATGCTTATTAATCTAAATAATACTTAACTCTTTTATTTACTGCCTTTTTCCTTCTTAATGGCAGGTTATGTTTCGAATTATAACTCGTCCCGGATGGTGTAGTGGTGAAGTGCGCTGCTCTCCGGTAAGGACAATAGCTCGTGTTCATTCTCCACTGCATACACCTGTGGTCCGGAGTTTTGCAAATATCTCAGCATTTCATACTAAATAATACTAATAGGAACCTTTTAACCACCTTTTGAACGTTTAAAATTTAAAAATTCTCAAGACCAACTTTCTGTTAACCTCGGCATTGATTGATAATTCGATGTTTTTCTTCAATAAGCAGACACGAGGTTGTTATATCCTCACGCAAGAATCGAAAACTCCAGCGCGTAAAGCTTTTGAAGCGTTTTGAATCAATCCCAAAAATTCAGGAATGAACAGCAAGGAGGAGTGTCGTGTCTCCATTGTCATCACGCCCGACCTAGCGCCATACCTCAGGCTAATCTGAAGACGTGACACTGACACAGTTATCGCCCATATATTACTCTGTGCGGCTGCTATCCATCAACCAACTTAAATACTTACAGCAAATAAACGGTAGGTGTTTAAATGAAGCTGTTTCTTATGCGAATACAAATTTATTTGTTAAGTTTTATCTGCTAGAGTTATGAAAGTTTGGGTGGGTAGATCGCCTCTCAATTTGACCTTTCCAGGCTCTGAAGAAGATGAAACCGCCAAAACGTCAGCTAGTGTATCCTAATAAATTCTATAATAACAAACTCGTGTCTGTTTAAAATTTAACCATAAGGATGCCAAGATATGAGCAAAACTCGAGACCTCAAGTGAGGCTTCGAACCCGCGACTACCCTTACCTCACGAGCTATCTACTACGCCAATAAAAGCCCAAAGGAGACTTAGAATTTTATTCGAAAATTAGCCTGCGTCTATTTTATAAATATTACAGTGAAGGTCTAGTTGAAATAGAATCCCCATATTGCACTTCCAATTTGAAATTCTTTGTTAGTAATTTTAAAGTCTTCCTGACCAATGAGTAACAATATTTGCGGTAGTATTAATAATAATAATAATTAATAATAATAATAATAATATTATAATAATAATGATAATGATAATAATAATAATAATAATAACAATAATAATAATAATAATATTAATAGTAAGGACAATAAGAGCAGGCAGAGTGATAAAGATTAATTACGTTTTTGAACTGGTGAGCTGATATTGGATCGTACCAAAGCCATTCGTCTGATTTCCGCTGGCTCAGCCTGTGCTTGTCTCATCTGTTGTGGAATTTTGAACGGGTTTCGACCAGCGATGATGTTGGCCACTAAGCCGGGAAGTATTTGCGTTTGGAACTTTTCCAGTACTGCTTTTGCAATCTAAAATACTGTCTATAATGGTCAAAAAGTCAGCCAGTAAGGTGGCTTTATAAGATTTCACCAAGAATCATTTGAGCACATAGATCTCTTTTTGTTACTGTTTCGATTTTTTTTCTGAGCTAAGTGTAACCGCATTTATGAACATATGTAAGACAATTCTTCCGTTTAACTAGGATGTATGTTGCTCGTCGATTTGAGTAATAGTTGACATCAGGCTGTTGAGAAGCACTTGAGGAGGTGGAAATCGTCGTCAGCTGCCTTGCACTTAGTTCAGCAAAGTGTGATTAGTAACGAGTAAACCCAATGCCAGATACTGGGCACAGCAACTCATTCCTTATTACTCTTTTCGTAAAAACGTTAGGAATGAATGAAGGGCCTTTTACTTATGGACATTATGATTACATATGCCTCGCAACGGTTTACCGCCTCATCATGGCTGGGAGGTGCTCCTGGGTGTAGGACTGCGATGTACAGCGGAATAGTTCATCACCCCGGCTAAGACTCCTATGCTGAGAAGGAGACCAGCGTTTCCATCAGGAAGCTCAGCTAAGAGTAAACCAATACCAGGATCCACCACTGCCCTGGTATCAAAGTCGCATGGTGACAAATCTCCCTCTGATCCACAAGGGCTGCAACTGCATGGGGTGGTGACGACCTGTGGAAGACTTTGGCTAGGCTGACCTCGGGACTTCAGACGGCCACAACGATTAAACCAGCAGAACTCCGAAAAAATGGAAATTAGACTGGTGCCGGCACAATCAGTGAGGATGGGCCATCCAAGTATTCGAGTATCTGAGTGTTAATTGTGATTAAATCCTGTGCCGAATACGGGGCTTAGCAGACCATCCACTGTTACTCTTTTGTAAAAAACCTTAGAAATGAAGGGTCTTTCGTGTCACTCTGGCATATTTGGCCGTGTGCACTACATAGGAGTCAACTTAGGGCTACCTTCAACAAATATTCCTCATATTTACGTCAAATGAGCCTAAATCTAGATTCTCCTTCGCGGTTTACCTCTTGCAAGCTAGCTTTAGCTATATTGATGTGAAAAACAGGTATGATAAAGAGCCTCGTACGAGGAAGGTGATTCTCTTCGTTTCCCTCGAAGGACTGAAAGCTCCAGAGCTGCCATTTCGCAAGATATGGACAACTAGAAACTTTATTGTTACTGGATCGAGTACCCTAATTCTTGACAAGGTTGCAAATGACACAAATAGTTCAGCAGGTTGCTACGGATCAAGTAAACAACACTGTCTTAGTTTATTCTCCTACTCCTTCTATATACCGCTCTCCTAATACACCTTGTAGACAAGTTAAATTGAAATACTAGTTTAAAAAACTGATTAGTGGCGGTACTTTTTTGTATAGAGGTTTTTTGTTGCATAAACTATAACTACCTCATCGACTATTGCACCAATAAAGCAGCCGCACTAGACACTTTTACAGCATTTAACAGGTACCAAATGAAATACAAGAAGAATAGATCATCTACTGATGAAGGAACTGCAGTGGCCCGCTTTACGGTTTCCTATTTAATTGGTTTCCTAAATAAAACACCGGCTTGGATGGACCACTGCACCCGACGAAGCTACCATGCTGGGCCATTTCTGAGTATTCCATTTAGTAAATCTCAATTAGAATACCAGCTCAGATGGATCTTGAGTCTCCATTTCTTTTTGAGTTTTTATAGCTTGTTCGATTCCTCTCAGGCTGCTTGCAATTGGAATGCCGTTTTCGTTCAACATGTCCACCATTGGATTTCCTGAAACAAATGTATCGATACCATCATTGTCTTCATCATTATATCTCAGAGAAAATATTGATTTGCGGCACAAATATAGTGGTAGCGATTTGCCTATAGTCGGAAATGACGATGTTTTCCAATCGGACCATTTACTATTTAACAAGCCTGATTTGTGAAATATCAAGTGAAGCCAAAACTGCATTTTGTACGGTGGATTTCAAACATTCTTAACAATGTTGTAATATACAACCACAACGATGCTGAGATACTTGCAAAACTCCGGACCACAAGTGTCTGCGGTGGGGAACGAACGCTTTACTACCATTTCCAGTGGCTAACGCGTTTACCACCACGCCATACAGGTCCTTCGTTTCGCCTATCCCTGGCAGGCCAGTTTTTTCTATCGATCAGTGCCATCAGTATTCACTCGTCAACGGGATTGGTGTGGAGAGCCCACATCAGCATTGAATCCAGTTAAGTTAATTTTGTGACAGCACGAAAAAACAAGGAGATACAGATAATAATTACCTTTAAATCTATTAAGTAAAATAAAACTTCAAGCAGTACACCGAATTTTTACCAGCATACCATAATTCCTTTAGCGCGTGTGGCGCAGTGGTCGGAGGCGCATTGCGATGGACACTGGAATCGATCCTCGCGCCCATGGTCCACCAACCATTCCATTCCTCCGACGTCGGCAAATTGGTACCACACTTGTCGGGAAGAAAGCATCACTGACTCGATACATCGGTAGGCCGCCACGAGTCATTGCAAAGGCCAGATATGCATTCAGTCACCTCCAACGATGATTAATGAAGTGGAATACATAGCGCATCCCACAGAGATTGATCAACGGCGAGAGCTTCATCTTTTATCCTTTACAATACCTCTCAAAGAATTTTCGAAACGCATTTAGAGTACCTTAAGCAGCTCAACACATTCAAATTCGGAGACGTTCATGAATGGGGAGTGCGAGGAAACGAATCGAATGTAAATCGAATCGAAACAAACCAAAATTTGTAAGAGATCAAAACGAAAACAATGGTAGATCAAAATGGCCGTGATCTGCCCATTTAGCCGACGGTGCACCGCTCATCCAGTCATTGTGATCAGAAGGAATTTTTCATTGCCCTATTGTTGTGCTAGGAAAGAAACACTGCTTTCTTTTTCTAATTCGTGAAGTTCAAGATGATGTTCGTAAAATGTTTTTCTGCACTGGCTTTGTTTCTTTATTAGCATATTTTTAGTTCTCATCAATTTCTTTTCCTCCCAACGGTTTATCGCCTCATCGTGGATGGGAGATGTTCTTAAGTGTCGGACTGCGATGTACAGCGAGAGAATTCGTCCCTCCGGCAGGGTCTCCCAAGTTGAGAGGGAGTCCGGCGTTTCCATCAGGAAGCCTAGCTAAGAGTAAACCAATACCAGGATCCACCATCTGGTATCAAAGCTGTATGGTGGCAAATCTCCCTATGATCCACAAGGGCTGCGACTGCCTGTTGTGGTGACGACCTGGGGCAGATTTTGGCCAGGCTGTCTTCGGGATTCCAGGGAACCATAATGGTTTAACCAGCAAATCTTCGAAAAATGGTGATTATGCTGTATGAAAGCTGATGGCTTTTATTTTGAAATAAACAAATTTTACAAGTAGGATTGAAAGTAACAATTCTGGGCCTTGGCGATAAAGAAGGAGAATAAATTTTGAAACGAAAAATCGATACCGGTTTTTGGTTGGAGCTTAGCGATCTCAGCTTGTTGCATTACAGCGTCGGCGGCAAGATCGTCTATTTTGATCTTCTTATACTTCTGATACTGCAAAAACAGAGCTTAGATCATTTTTCCCTAAAGGATCTTATTTACCAAAATTTGAAATGGCTTGGCCAGGTAAGTAACAGGGGATTTTCCATTCACAGCAATAAGCATTACAAACATTTTGCCTTCCTTCGTTCGTGACCTTTGGTCACTGGAAATTTGTCGCTTAATTTATATATTATATAAGTAACTTCGACTTTTGTACTAGATACTTAGTTGGTCAACCTTCTATGAAGAACCGTACCAGTTCCGGCGTAACTACCATTCGACTGATACTTTATTGTTTGGTATATAGCTCATTAGTTAGAAATGCCTTATAATGTACGTGTGGTCTTCGTTTCCAACCTGACGCCTCAAGCAAACTTAGTCTTCCATCCATCCTGAATAAATTGGGTTCCAATCTTAACTAGGAAGATGAAAACACTGGCTAGATACATCGGTAGGCTTTGCAATTTTCTGTATAAATTAAATATGCCATGAATTAGCTCTGCGATTGTTTGGATTGAAATTGAACGCCTAAGGGATTGACCAGTGCCAAACGCTTCATAATCTATCCCGTACTGATTGAGCAAGATTTTCTCCCTATGGTCACTCGCTGTCGCTCTGTGGAGGTAGTTATTAGGTGTATACCAATAGCCAGCTGCTGACTGTTGCGGATCGGCGCCAAGTTTAGGGTTTATCGCCAAGACTTCTTCTAAGACAGCGATGACATCTAGCCAGACTTCATCTTAGATTAGGTTTCGGTTGAAAATACATAGTTCCTCATTTTAAATGAGCCTCTTGGATTTGCGCATTCTATTCAAATACCCAGGAACAATCTTACCCCACAGCAAACCTGCAAACCACTACGTTCATTTAGTGGATAGTTGGCGGTTCAAAGTTGCATTCATTTTTTTTTACTATATGCATAATTTTCTTGTATCAAGAAAGTCACCAGATTGGTAAACAGCACGTAGATTTTCTACCGTAAAGGGAATGCTATAGGGCAGTAGTAGTTATTTTTTCTCTTTCGTTTTGAAAATCAGATAACTTCTTTAAGGAAAGCTGCTTTTTCGTTGTAATTCAATCTGACAGATGTTTTTTCTCTTCAAGAAGCTGACCTGTTCCGGATGCACTTTTTCTAACACTTCTAATTGGGTTTTGAACGCTCCTTTTGCCATTTCCATTTGACCTTTTTTAATTAGAGCATCTGAATTTATTCTTTTATTAGTGCGTTGATCTGAGCGTTCTTAATGTAGTAAAAATAGTTTTTCAGAGGTTTTTAGAACTTCTACAGTAATTATTCTACAACAAGTTCACTTTCTCTACTAGTGATTCTTGGTACTTGACTTGACTCACTCGTCACTCGCACGTCTTCACTGTTTGTGTGGGCCCCAGCATAATCACCATTTTTCAGAGATTTGCTGGTTAAGCCATTGTGGCTCCCTGGAATCCTGAGGTCAGCTTGGCCAAAGTCTGTCCCAGCTCTTCACCACCACAGGCAGTCGTAGCCCTTGTGGATCAGAGGGGAATTTATCACCATGCGACTTTGATACCAAGACTGTGGTGGATCCTGGTATTGGTTTACTCTTAGCCAGGCTTTCTGATGGAAACGCCGTAGTTCTTCTCAGCTTGAGGTACCCTGCCAGGCGATGAGTCCCCCGCTGTACATCGCAGTCCGACACCCAGGAACACCTCCCAGCCACAATGAAGCGGTAAACCGTTAGGAGGAAGTTCATGTATTCTACTGGTGAAACATCAAATTTTTAGTCAGTTATGTTTGTCTTGTTGAAATGTGAGTTTTAATTTTTTTTTTAAACACAAATTTAGTCTAAACTTTTCTTTTCTGATATTTGAAAACCGACTTTCCTTTAACCTCGGTATCACTAACCAATATGTATTCTTTCTTTGATAAACTTACACGAGGTTAGTAAATAATATTTACTTACGGCTGACGTTTTGACAGTTTCTTCTTGATCAGAGCCGATGATCCGCAAAAGAATACATATTTTCTTTCTGATGTTTTCCAAACGGGAACGAACCCAAGAATTTTACTCCGATTTGCTCTATGGCGTATTTGCTCGGCAACGGAATGAGCATCTTCGGCTGGCCTTCAGCATTACTGTCGGAATCCACCTCCACGGATTCACCATCATCATGAGGACGACCAACGACCGTACAAACTGTCAATCAATCGATAAGATTTTTTGCCAGTTTTTTCATTCTTCCCTAATGGTGTTTATTTTTTGTGGAAGTAATAGCATTAGTAAATAAACAGTTTGACTGTAGATGCCTTCAAAAAAGAAAAATGGAAGAATTTCTGTCCAAATTCAATTTTTTAATGCCTCGTTTTCCTCTCAATTACTACTACGGCACTGGTTTAGTGAATTTCAGCCATGATCATTATAATCTCGCGGTGTTATAGTTTGGTACAAAAAATTCTATTATATTGAACAGCGGGCGAGAAACGAATACCGTAATCCAAAAAACTTTTCTACCCCTCATTTTCTTTTGCTATCTCTTTTTTATCCCTCAAAAAAAAGAATCGTTTTCTATCCCTTTTGACCAATTCTAATAGACGAAGCGTTGTAGGCCGGAAGAACACAATATTTCTTCGTAGATTTAACAGTTTCCTTATGAATCCCTACGTCTGATAAAAACAACAGGTTCAGTTTTTTTCTGCTTAATTTTTTTCTAGTTAACTTTAAACGTAATAGTGCTTTCAAGTGATGAAATGAGACACAGTTCAGGCTTCATTTAGAACCAGCAAAATTTTTTATAAATTTAATGGCTTGGTTGTTGTGTTTTTCCGTCAATGAGTTTATCGTTATCAAGAAAGAAGAAAACATTAAAAAATTAGCTAACCTATAGATGTGAGGAAAATGAAGGAAGCAGTTTGCATGGTAAACGGTTTGACGAACTGAATCCGATGGAAATCGGCCGAAACACTGATGGAACAGAGATCGCTGCTGATATCCGGGATTATATGCGTTAGGATACGGCGACAAACAAATTTCGTTGAGAGACGGAAGTTCGAATCTTCAGGTGGGTCGCCACCCCGGGTGGTCGCACTCACCCGCCCACCGCCGTACACGAAGCGATCCGGGTGCTTCACGGCGAGATCGGGAACACGACTGGGGATTTGAAATCGTTAATAGAATCGCCTTCGAATCCAGAAAAAACCCTAACTTTTTGGATTCAGACATTGTTCCACAATCGTAGCTCGTTTGATCACCTTATTACAGCGATTAATTTTGGCTTTTTTTCACATGCTTGTTCTTTCCTAGGTAGTCCCGTTTTTGGGAATTTCAGTTGCTTTCTCTATACAACGGTTTTTTCTGTTTTTTCCTCCTGATAAGACTTTCCTGATTATTTTTCTCTTTTTGCAGAGACATCGATGGACAATTAACTGAGCGCTGATGACGAAGAACTATTTAGGAAATAGTGAAGAAAAGTGACAAGAAGAAGAAAAACTCGACACGGCTCTACGTTCATAATGCAAGATTATTAACATGCGAAAATGAGCCTAATACCAGCCTATTTATTCTTATTAAAACAATTTTAACCATAGTGATGCTGAGACATCTGCAAAACTCTTGAAGCGCTGGTGTCCGCGGTGGCAGCTGAACACGCTACTACCATTTCCCGGGGCTAACGCGTTCACCACTACACGATGCAAGTCCTTCGTTTCGCCTTTCTCTCAGCCTAAAATAATTTCATTCCATGAAAGAAACCTGTCAGAGATTTGTATCATTTTATTGTGCAAAAGTCAAAAGGATATTTTTATACCATCTTTCATCAACATACAATAGAAATTTTTTCAACTTAAAATTTTCCGTGATACATTTGAAATGTCTGAAAAACTCATCACACATCAAAGTTACCAATCTGATGATTTTTCATTTAAATGAACAAAAAACTCGCTATTTATCTAAATCGCTTTTAATCATTACTAGTATAGTGCTGTAAATTTAGCTCAATTGTAGATCAGAATGAACTCATACAGTAATTTAACAGATTTGGGTCTTCAGACGTCTCATCAACTTTTTCCGACGCACCACTGAAAACAAATCATAGCAAATGAATAAATAAAAATTAATGCGAATGAATAAAATGAAAGAAATGAGGACGGAAGTGGAAACAGAAAAATAGGAAAGAGTGGAAAAATGACAAGAAAGAAGATAGAAAATTGATGGAATTACAGTCTTGAAGTTCATTGGACGCCTTAGTTTGACGATATTTTCGATCGGCTTTGGCGAAAATCCACGGAAAGAAGTCGCTTTCGATTTCTTAAAAAGATCCTTTTTGTGAAAAAAGAATTGCCTCCAAATCTATGGTTACCTCAATAATTTCGGGCTACTGTTTTCTATTTTGAGTACTAAATCTTTCTTGCTAAATGGTCTTAAGATTTACTGCTGACAGTCTTTTTTATTGATGAAATTCTCTTTATTTTTCCAAGTGATTTTCTTCCTCAATTAATATACATATTTAGTTGAATTAATGGATTTTTTATTTCGTGTATAAGTCGATCCTATTCAGCTTTACGTGTTTGAATCTTAACTATTGTAGTGAAAGTACCTTATCCAAATATAATAGTACTATTTTAATACCCAAACGGTTTACGGCCTCATTGTGGCCGAGAGGTGTTGCTGGGTGTCGGACTGCGATGTATAGTGGAGGAGACGACTCACCCACCGAGCAAGGCCTCCCAAACTGACAAGGAGTCCGGTGTTTCCACTGGGAGCCCTAGCTACTTGTAAACCAGTGCAGAATCCACCACCACCGTCAAGTCGCATGGCTGAAAATCTCCTTCTGATCCACAAGGACTGTGGCTCCCTGTGGTGGTGACGACCTGGGAAAGACTTTGGTTAGGTTGACCTCTGGACTTCGAGAACCACAACGGCTAAACCAGCAAAACTCCGAAAAAGATGGAAACCATGCTGCTGGTTGCACAATCATTGAAGACGAATCATCCAAGTAATTATTTGAATAGCCGTGATAAACAGCGATGGGCTGTCAATTGATGGAACTGAGGTCCTTATAAAGAATCATTTGATACTTGAATGGCCTGTCCTCACTGGTTGTGCGAGCTCCAGCATAATCACCATTTATCGGAGATTTGCTGGTTAAGTCATTGTGGTTCTTTGGAATCCCGAGAACAGTCTGGCCAAAGTCCGCCCCAGGTCTTCACCACCACAGACAGTCGCAGCCTTTGTGGAACAGAGAGAGAATCGCCACCATGTGACTTTGATAGCAGGACGGTGGTGGATCCTGGTATTGATTTACTCTTAGCTAGGCTTCCTGATAGAAACGCCGGACTCCTCAGCTCCCCATGTAAATCGCATCCCGACATCCAGGAAAACCTCAGCCACGATGAAGTCGTAAACCGTTGGGAGGAGTAAAGAATTAAAAAATAGTAATAATAAAAAAAGTTTTGAAATGATAATTTGAGAACGATGGGATTATATGGTAAAAATCTAAAAAATCCTGTAGTGTTTTGTGATAATGATTGTAATTTGTGATTACATAAAATGGTCATAATTATTCGCATTTAGTTCTCACGGTTAGAAATGTAGTTCATATTACGTGGGAATTTTATTTAATAATTAACAACATATCAGCAAGAACAAGTACAATTACAGATATTGTGGTAAAAATTTATTTGCAAAATTCTGAACCGCAGGTGTCTGCGGTGGGAACGAACGCGCTACTGTCCTTTTCGGGGTGTAACGCGCTCACTACCACACCATATGGGTCCTAAGTAGGCGAAACGAAGGAAGCGCGCGCGTTCTTTCCCCACCGCAGACACTTACGGTCCAGAATTTTGCAAATATCTCAGCAACGGTGTGGTTGTATTTCGCTTAGCACCCTGCCGTGAAAATTGTAGTAGGCAGAAAATAAGAGACCAAACATTGTAAAAATTTATATTTGTAACGTCTAAATTAAGCACAGCAATCGTAAAATGCGCCCTTAGAATACTTTTTCGAGGAGATTTAAACATTTGATAGAAACATTACTGATTGCAGACAAATATATTCGTCAATAGTCCAAACTTCGCCGAGCTGTTTTTCTGCCTTTACGCGTTCAAAATGGATGCTATGTAGAGTTCGTGTCTTAATCACAATCATAGCACGAGGCTCTAGTGATATGATATTGATTAGTTATCGAGTCAATGTGAAGCAATCAATTAACAAACATACACTACGAGAAGATGATGATAGAAGATATTTCGAGTTCTGAATGAACATACCAACGTGCATAAGATTGTCGCTTTGTAACATACGTGTGTCTACGCCGACGCTTTTCGTTTGAGGCTCGGTCAAAGATGGCGCTTCGTTCCAATGTGCCATCGACGACAACACAATCTAAACCTTAAAAAATACTTCGAATTGAATCCAATACTACAAAGGTTCAATACTGTATTGTATTATTAAGCCAATATGATGTTGTTGAGACATGTATTGCGGAGTGGTTAGAGGTGCTCTGTAATACACATTGGTTCAATTTTGTGCCCAAGTTCTCACGAAGCTTTCTGTTCCTGTGGTATCAGCAAATTGGTACCCGAATTTCCGAGGAGAATAGCAGCATCGACTCGATACAGTGATCGACTTCCACGAGTCATAGAATATGCTAAATATGCACTCAATCACCTTTAAGGTGCTACCAATGCGGTCAAGTAGATACCGTACCTCCGAAGAGATTGATCAGTGCTGAAAGATTTATCTTCTTACTTTTCCTTTACAAATTTAGCATGGAACACTTTACTAGAAAGGCATTGTCAGCTTTGCCTTCACTCTTATGTTCTGCCTAGTAGTTTTTCGTGGTGGGATCTTGTGTGAAAAGAGCACAAGATCCTAAGATTTGAGGTAAACTGGGCACTTCACTTAGGCTTCAAACCTGCTTTACATTTTCCGAGGCATTATTTATTATCCACCACACCAATCGAAGCCCTTGCTTTGCCTTTTTCTCAGCCATTTCGCTAGTAATCCCGTTAACGGGAATGACCAGCAGAGCACAAACGGGGTTGAATCAAGTTGTTTTTGCTCATATTTCAGCATCACTGTGGTCATACGGTCAATTTCGTTTTTATTTTTTTTCCTTCCAAACATTTACACGTAAGAGAAACTTTCACCATTTGCAAGTTTACCAAAGTTTTTTTAAAAACACTTTAGTGTAAGTGATTCGCGATGTTTTAATTTTTCACTGTTTGATATTTATTCAGTTGAAGTCTAGCAACGGTGCTCGAATTGAATTGCCCATCATCCCTTCTATCAAGTATATCAACTTTACTCTTTGTATTTCTTTCAGTTCTCGAATAAGTCGGCCGTATACCCGTCAAGCCCAAATTCATACTCTCGTTGTGCGCCAGTGTTATTCGCTTAGCTTTATTCCTTTCAGGAAATGTCACATTTTTAGTATAGTGCTCTTTACTTTTACCTATGTCGTCATTTTCAAGGGAAGGTAGCCATAGTAGCTCCATGGACCTCATCGTGGTGTTTCTTTACTTTTACCGGAACTGGAACTCTTCGGGTTGGAAATGTTGAATCCTTTCTCAGTTTCGGAAACCTTACTGGGTAGGGTGCAGAACTCAAGTATATCGTAGTTCGTCAGCCAAGAACACCTTCCAGCCGTTATGTTGCAGTTAACCACTGGGAGTATTCAGCTTACATAATCCCTGATTTTATACATATTTCGCATGACTTTGTCGTTTATAGTACTATTTTTGATTGTAGACTTCGTCTGAAAAAACTACGGTTAAAGTTTAATACTCAATGAAGTTCAACGGCTCACCCCTTTACAAATTTCTGTCGCTAAACACTGACACTGTCGTAATTCATCTTCTCGTTGAAGAGTATCGATCATTTTATCCTAGATTTCACAAAAGTAGAAAGGAAAAGTGAGAGGGAGAGAGAGGAGAGGGGCGGGGGAGAAAGAGGAAGAGAAAAAGTGAGAGCGTAGAGTACAGCAATGAGAAAAAAGACATGAAAACAGGAAAAGAACTGTAGTGAACCGATTTTTTACAACAGCGGAAAATCACAGGAAATTGGATAAGTTTGAAAAACTTGGAAAACTGAGGAGTCGTACCTTTTCTTCCATGGCAGATTTTGTAGTGTTTCTCAGTTCTTTAAGAAGATTTTTCGTGTTAGTTGCTTGATGTCGTAATGTTTTGATCTCATCGTCATTCTGTAGTGATTCTAACGCTTTCATGATAGCAGAAGAGGCCAAATGATCGACGATTTGTGTAGTCTCGATGTCGAAGCTCTGAAAGCAGTGGATTTTTCTCTTTCAATAGTGTTTTTATTGATTTTCCATCTTCTTTTGTTATGTTCTTTTGTTTGACATCTCACCGTATGAGGAAAATGCAAATGCAAATACTTTTGCAGTGAAAGTATTTCAAAGGCTTTAGGGATATTCTGTTGTGATACGGAACCAATCACGATTAAGCACGATGGCTATCACTTCTGCTGACGTCGCAGTGGCGTCTAACAAAACTCCTGATTCATCTAGAGAGGATTTATTCAATCATCTTTATGCAGTGGTCGATCGATAGGCAGTGATCTGCTATCAATCTTCTTAATATTGAACGGCGCGTAGTGACCTATTATCGATCGGCTCACAGTCAGTCATTTGTTTCACGTGTGATGATTAGTAGGGAAGATAACTAATCAATGACATGGGAAAATTCAGAAAAATATGTGACGAGTGGAAAGCTTTCTAAAAAAACTGCCTAAAAAACCAAATAGCCAAGATATAAAGGGAGCTATCTCAGATGTAAGCATGCGGACGCTCAGGTATGAGTAGTGTTCGGAGCGTCATCTGGGCTTCGAACCCACGATCACCCTTTCTGGGGGGTTCACGTGTTATCCAACACACCAACCGACGACCTCAATTTGCCTTTCTCTTATCCAGCATTTTTACTCTATCAGTGCTGTCAATAATCACCCATCAACAGAAATCATCGTCATTGATCCCAGTTAAGCTGAAGTTACGACATTATAATTCCCAATGCATGTTTTGCCGATTTGTACTTTCTAGATCATTCTCCTTGACGGGTGATTGCTGATAGCACGGTTGGGTAGAAAAAACCTGACTGAGAGAACGGTAAAGTAAGGGTCTCGCTTGGTGCCGTGGATAATACATGGGTCCCAAAAAGGGTAATCACGGGTTCGAAGCGTACCTGAGATCCTGGGTTTTGTTCATACTCAGTATCCTTTTGGTTACACTTCACATCGTACTCAGCCATGAACAGGGAATAGGCAGTAGATAAAAGTCGAGGTATTATCTAAAGCATATTTCGCATAATGAGGCTAAAACAGTCGCTAAACTTTCATTAAGGTATACGATTTGCATATTTATTACAAGATTTATTCACATGTTCTATGTAACAAAAGTATTTTTCGTAATGTAATAATTTTCTTAAAATACCAACTACTCACTAAGTAATGGAAAGGATACATCTCTCTTCCTCGCGAAGAGAACTGGTGCAGTTTCCAAGTACTACAAATTAAAGCAATCGCAATTTCTTACACTCTTGGTTAAGATATGTTTCTTCTAAAAGCACAGATGAGCTTCGAAAGGATCTTTTCAGGAGTCAAAACAGGATTTCTTTTCTCGCGATAGATTCATTTCGTTCAGATAGACAAAGATCTTTGACTAGTCCGTAAATGACGGATGTTGACGGAAATGCGTTGGTCGGATTTCCGTCGATTCCTTGCCGACGGCTTCTTAAGGATTCATTCAGCTTATGAAGAAAAATAAGGCTCTTCTAACTAAAAAATTGGTTTCTTAGCGAAGAAAACAAAAAAAAATTTGATCGATGGCTAATTAGACCACATTGGCAACTGTCCAACAGGTAATCAATCCGTTTTTTCTCTTTTTTTTTGTCATTAAACAACATTTAAGTGGTTATTTTACGATTTCTTACGTTACTAGATGAAAAAACTCCACCGTAAAAAAAGAAAGTAGCAAAAAAAGAGCGAACCAGTTATGTCTAGAGGTGAACTCAAACGTTTATTACGATGTAAATCTGAAAGCTCACAAAATGTGGGTTGACAAGGAAAGGTAGTAATTACCTGGCAAAGTTACCGTATTTCAAAGGCACGGGGCTAATAAGTAGTTCTACACCTCGCTGTTCGTTTACTTTCAGTGGTAATGGTGAAGATAAAAAGTCCAGAATTCGTCGCATCTTGGAGCTCTTCTCGATTTCCTATCGTTAGAACTCTGTGGAACACAATGCATAGCAGTCTATTCGGCCAAACGGCCAAACACCTCCATAACCAAGCAAAGAAAACGCTAAACCAAGATTTCAACCACAATGAACACAGCTTTGTACATTCACCGCTTTCTATGAGGCTTCCACTGAGTACGTCGCGTGAAGACCAACCGCACAGAATACACATGGAAGCGTAATATGCCCCTCCCATCAGAATTTTTTTGCTTGGTTATAGAGGTGTTTGGCCAAATATATTGCTGTCAACTTAACCTCCCCAGGCTCTGTGGAAGCCGAAATCCGCCGAAACGTCAGCTTATTCGTGAATAAAGAATAAAACTAACACCTCGCGTTTGCTCAACGAGAGCACGAAGAATTGCCTGATCAATGCCGAGATTAATAAAAAGTCGGTCGTGGGAGTTACAAAGCATAGAATTCACAGCCGGGAATAATGTATCACGCAGAAAAAGGAAAGGTTGATCAGATGTTTTGCAGAGACTTGAAAATCTGCCTTATCTTAGGATTTAATAATGGATCTTTCTTAGGTGGGAAGGAAACATTACAAATCATCAAGGGTGGCGTGTAGCGCATTTGTTAGAGGTATCTTGCAATTCACGATGGATCAATCTCAGGGCAAATTGGTACCAGACTTGTCCGGGAAGACAGCAGCACTGGCTCGACTCATCGGTAGGCAAAGGAAACAGCTGTGCCGGAAGCTACCCTTATTGACTGGATATCAGCACTGAAGCTTCAAGCCAAATCCATTCTAGTGAGAACTGAACAAATTCCAACCTATTTAAAGTTCCATTCTGAAAAAATTAGTACCTTAGTAGTTTTTTTATTTACTGCTTACTACAATTCTTCACAGCAGAGTATTATGTGAAATATAACCACAGTGATAATAAGATATTTGCAAAACTCCGAATAGCAGGGGTCCGTGATGGAGATCGAACACGCCATTACCCTTTCCCGGGGATAACGCTTTTGTCAACACACCATGCGGGTCCTTTGCTTCATCTTTCTCTTTTGTTTGCTCTTGTTTCTCTTTATTGCTGAGCTTTAGCCAAAATCCATCTGCTTCCACTGTTCACCTAGCCTTTTTATTCGATTTTCTCAGACATTCGCTTATAGCGTATAGCAAACCAATATTTCACAAACCAACCGTCATTTAACCTCAGTAGTAAAATAATCAACATGTGTTTAAATTCTTAAGCTTACACAAAGGTTGATAAATTAGCTTTATTCTGCTAACGTTTCGACGCCTTCCTCTTCATCAGAGCCGATAGCGACTGCTGCAGCATGGACTAACCGTTGAAAAAGAACTTATTAATGGATAGTCATATCAACAATAATTGTTTTGTACAAAACAGCGCTGCTAGGTGAGCATGCCTCACTCGAACGGTGTTTTCCTGAAGAAGATCTGTCTCGGTACGGTTACGAAGACGCCACATCGAGAAGACGAACAACTGTGGACCATCGACTCGGATCTTCGGCTCTGATGAAGACGAAGAAGTCGAAACGTCAGCAGAATAAAGCTGGTTTATTAATCTTATGCAACCTCAGCAATTCAAATATATATTCGTTTGTTTTTTCGTCTGTTTTCATTCTCTGCTTATAACCTAGAGCGCGTATAGCGCAGTGGCTGGAGGCGCCACTGCAACACACACGTGGAATCGGTCCCAGTGTCCATGGCCCACCAAGCCTTCCATCCCTTCGGAGTAGGCAAATTGGTACCAGACTTGTCTAGGAGGATAGCAGCACTAGTTCAGCACATCGGTAGGCCACCGCGAGTCATTGTAAAGGCCAGATATGCATTCAATCACCTCCAAACGATGCTTAATGAAATCGAATGCATGGCGCATTTCTCAGGGATTAATCAACGCGGAGAGCTTTATTTATCCTTTTACTTTTAACCTGATAGCGTAATATTCTGATAGTATCTCAATAAGTAATATAATATAATTTCTCTCATATTAACACCTTTGTGTATAACGATACACGTCATTTTAATGTCCAGCAGCCGTAACCAGACGTAACTAAACATCTATAGACATCGTTTCGTGAAGTTATGCAATTGTGAGAGAAGGATTTCTGCTTAGAATCGTGGGAAAAGCCACAGATAATTTACAATTGTGTATCAGATTTCCTAATTCCTTTCTTAGAGAAGGTGAACAATAAAAAACTAAACAAAAACAGAAAAAAAACCACGGACATCGTCAGTTTGGATGGCGCACTCGACAATAGCGTGATGGTATCGGCGATCCGTTGGCGGTGGTGTCGGAACATTCGGTACATCTTGTTCGATAGTGGCGTACCGACGGCAGATATTCAACTGCGGAACGACGACAATGACCGAAGATGAGCACTCTGAAGATGACATCTCAAAAATCGGCTCTCGTTTAACATGAGCATAACTAATCAATGCGTATTCTTTCATTGATAAGCTAACACGAGATTCACAAAAAGTTCTTTATTCGTGCGATCCGCTATTCGACTCGATCCGATCGCGAAGGCCCACATCGAATGAAGGAAGAACTGTGGACCATCGACGCTGAGGAAGACGAACCTTTTCATCGTTCTCGTGTCAGCTTATCAGTGAAAGAAGACTCTGAAGGTGACTTGTTTTCGTTGATGAATACATTATTCAGAGTCGTCATTTAGTACGTAGGAGAGGATATTTCGAATCAATCGACTGCACGCCATCGCATGACACTAACTAAAATACAGCAGGCCATGGCTGCCATAACAAATCAAAAATGAGTACCAAAATGATAAATGATAGAAATCAAAAGTTTCTGACTTGATTGAAGTGGTTTGTTTTTTTATGTAAAATGGATTTTTTGAAAAATTAAAGTGCATCATTTGAAAAATTAAAGTGCATCTGTTATTATATTATCTGATTATTGATCTTCATATTTTTTCCAAGCATGGTCTCTAAGCTGAGGAGTTCGACATTTCTATACAGAAGCCTAATTGGGAGTACACTAATGTCAGGAATCACCGGAGCCATCGAAGGAGCCTAGTGGTAAGGTGGCAGACCCCTTTCTGATTTGCAAGGTAAAGCGACTGCTTTTCATGACGGGAACGAAAATCCTGACCAAATGAGGATTTGTTCTTCAAGTGGAAATCGTGTTAAGGCTAGAGCTACTCTTTTTGGAAATGGGTCCTTGAAATATACAAGTGGGTGGTAGTAATTTTTAGTGCTTCTAGACATGGAAATAGTATGCTTTTACTTACTCTAACCTCACCTCTAATATGTTGAAGCCGGACCAAAAGTGTTGTGGAACTGCATTTTTTTTCAAAACAGTGATTTTGCAGTGGGGGTAACGTTTCGTACTGTTTCGGAAGGCAGTAGTTGTTAATGCATGTCGTGTTTTCCTTTTTGTACTGAACTGTTTCATGCGGCATCACCTTGAATTACTGCAATTCATCTTCTACATGGATATCCACCTAAGAAACACCTAAGAAACCAACCTGAGGAAATACCGCATGTCGAATACGAAGGTCTTCATATTCGACCTCATGCTGATGCCGACGAATCTGAATTCAGAACAGAACTAACTGAGTTACTGGCTATAGGAATAAGTACAGGAAAGCTTAGCATTGGAAAAAACATTTTTATGCCCCTCATTCGAAAGGTATTCAGTCATTTGAGCGCTTGGAAGGCGAGATGCTCTGATTATCTAAAGCACAATAAGCCAAAAATCGCCATTAACAAATAAGGTCCGATGATGGCTTTTCAGAAACTGACAATGAACTCTCTATGATCACCAGAGGATTTGACGAAACTTTAATATATAGATTGATAGAGTAGGTATTGCTCTGCAAATCTTAATCGTATTTGTGGCTTCCAAACAGTGTTTTTTCTTTTCAAACATATTTGAGTTTGAAATTTTCAAAAAAAATTAGAAACGAGCAAAAATTTTCTAATTTTCTGATGTAAAACAGGTAACTCAGAGAACGTGTAGCGGAGTGGTTACAGACGCCCTGCAATACACATGAGATCAAACCCGCACCCCATGCTCACCTAGCCTTCCATCTCTTCGTGGTCGGCAAATTGGTACCAGATCTATCTGGAAGGATAGCAGCAATGAACATGTCGATCGACCACCGCGAGTCAAAGCATAGGGCAGATATGCATTCTATTACCTCTAACGATGCTTAATGAAGTGAATGCATGGCGCAAACTCGGGAAGTGATCAACGCCGAGAACTTTACCGTTTTTAAAGAGGTAGCTGTAAACATCAGTCATATACTTTAAAATGTCATTGTGTGCTGATGGACACAATCCTACCTTATCATTTGTTTTCACTTCTGAAATACGAGCCTCGGAGGAAAAAAAAAGGGAGCTTAACATATTCCATAGGCTTCAAGAAATCGAGGATTTAACTTGGAATAGTAATAAAGCATAATTCCGTTATCTCCTAGACAAAAGTTTATAGATTTCAACGGTTTCTGCTCCATCTGATACCATTCGAAATAAGCTGAGATATGCTGTTTTAAAATTCAAAGCTGTCATTATGTCGTCTATTGCCCTATTGTATAGGAATAGTTGAACTTTCACAAGAGGTAACATACCTTTCGTACTGTTTGGCGTCTCGTGGTCAGAATATTGGTCCGATTCGCAGCCGTACTGTCCAGCGACCGCATGCCACCGTGTGACACCACCATCATGGGCGTGGTCAGCATTCCATTCGCCACCAACTGCAAGTCACCGTCCGGAGGCGGCACGACCAGTGTCGGCAATCGAGTGATGCGTCTTTTGGACGGCTGCAATCGAGTTGTCTTCACCGGCTTCTTCTTCTCCATTTCCGTTCTAAAAACGTCTAAAGTGGCGTCAACGTGGATTTTTGACGATGTTGCTTCTAATGAACTCGAACAAGCCAGAGAGATCGGCCGAAAGGGTACGAAGGTCTCTTTTGAGACTTTTTCTGTCAAAGTTGATCGAATATAAGCATCCGGATGTCTAGGCGAAAAAAGAACAAAAAACGGCTTAAAAATCATTTTTTAAGCCAACTTACTTAATTCCAGTATTTAACGAATGATTTTTCAAAGCGAGTGTGCTAGAGTTTGCTGGGGTTGCTTAGGTTACAAGGATGACACAGGAGTGAGGAAAGCTTAAATCGACAGCGCGTGGCCTTATCAGCTAATCCCTGATATCCTATCACACGTCACGGAAGCTCTTCATGAAGAGAAATCTTTTAAACTTTCAGCAAAAGTCGACTACGTAAACAAAGTGATCGGCGAGACGGATCATATGAAGAGGTAACTTATCCCTTAATCATTTTTTCTCATTGGTTTTTATTTCCTTGAGCTGTCTTTCAAATTCTCTTTTTCACCTCTTTCATTTCATTCGTGGTGTCCTGGCTAAATGGGGGAATATAAAGGGATAGCAAAATCTTGATGATATATTTATGGGAAGGCCCTCGAAAAAAAATCCAGATAAAATCAATAATAGAAGTGGACGACTGGACTTCTTGGAAATGAAAAGCAGGCCATTTCGGTTTGTATTTCTGTTCTCATAAACCATCAATAGAGACGACGTAGGTTGCAAAATAGCTAAATTTCAGTATTTCACTCTTATCGAAAGGTACTGTGTAGGAGTTCATGAATGCATGAAATCCACATCGGTTTCCTATCGAACTCGATCGAATAGATCGATTTCCGATTGTTCGAGGTCACCGACCACATTTGTTGACTATGCGTCGTTCTGTTTCAAGTTTTCGGCGAGTGAGATCGCTATGACGGAACGAACAGCTGGGCGACCGTAATATCATTACCTAGCTTATACAGTGTTGAAGATAACGATGACAATGACGGTGACGATGAAGAGGGCGACGCCGATGAAGACGACGACGAAAACGATGACGACGAGGACGAAGAAGACGACGAAAGTGGCGGAAACATCGACGTCCACGACGTCAACACCGATTCTGTAGAGCTAGTCGCTCCACTCAATCAGTGTTCACAGTGTTGCTCAACGATTTCGTCTCAGTCTCCTGTCATACTCGTTTTACATCACACAAAAAAAATTGAGTGTTGAGACAAAAGTAGAGATCCCACTTAGGTTTCTCTCGCCTAAAATCACTAAACATCAAAATTTGGAAGTAAATATACTTATCATTTTAGAGAAGAACTTTGTTTTGAGACCATTTTAACCATTTAATTGAATGATAATGAAATAGATATGTATGCGTATACATATGTATATATGTATTAGCTTCCTCGACAATAGTTGATATTGCTGCACAAATATTGAAACGAGGTGCTTGCCTTATCCATAGCTTATAAGAAATCTGAGAAAGTTATCGTCACATTTAGTGAGAAAATAGTATTTTTTCAGTCTGTAAGACCTCCTAGTTTAATAACTTTTATTGATTTTTTTTACCGTAGTTCTTATGTGTTTGCGAGAAGTGGTGGAATCCACGCAGTAGATCTGACGCGGGATCATGTAAAATAGGAAAAATCGCTGCCTTAATTTTGTGTCATTCCAATGTGCACGTCTAGTTTGTTAAAGGTTAATGGAGTTTTCATTCCTCCCTTCCTTGTGCTTGTAAATCATCTTTGCTCAACGTTTTTTTCACTTCGCTGCTTGTCATCATTTCTTAGAAATTAGGATATCCGAAAACTTTTTCACTCTGTGAACACCACTTTGCGCTTGTCTTATTAACAGAACTTAATAAACTGAAAGATAATCTTTCAGAGTCTTATAGACAAATCATTTTCTGGTATTATTTAGCTCATACTTCTGAGGTCAAAAAAGAAACCTAATAATTTGATTGAAACCTTTCATGAGATCAGTATGGTTCTTCTTGAGTGACGTCTAGTTAATGAACCGCTAGCCGTCTGACTTCGGGATGACCATGCCAGCTGACTCAAAAACCTCAACTGGAAACCTTCGTCTCGACTTGTTGACGTCGATGTCACGATATGCCAAAAAACCGGAATTGTGTCGTTTTTCAGAGGCCATAGAGTAGTGACGTAATCGGTCGTTTCCTATTATCTTTCAGGAATTCGCACTATTTGGATGGATTAGAAAAGTGTAATAATATTGATCGTCAATGGACCGATAGCATAGAAAATGAAGCGCTTCGGTAAGGATTTTTTGGAAATACTTTTCCTTTTCGGCTTTTTATTCGGTGTTTTTCTTTTATTAAAAGTGTTCAGTAGTTAAATTCATGAAGTTTGACAACAGTGATCCGCATCCTCATACGAGTACCGATTCCGAAGTTTCTGTTGCGGCGAATGTAGATTTATGATTCGAAAAGCGTAAAACCATCTGGAACAAACAAATTTCTAATTGACAAGATAGAGACGAAAGTATCGTGAACTAACTGAATGAAATTAAGTGTATTACAGGTACAATTTGCCTAAGATGAGAGTCGAATTATCGATTACGTATATGTGGGGATCACACGACAGGCTGGGTTTAATAGAATCTCCCTTAATGAAAAGGTTAAGCAAACGGTCCACTTGAGAAAAATCATATCTTTCCTGGATTACCGCCATAATCATTTATTAGTTTTGGGGAATCGGAAGAAAGCTTCCCACCTTAGGACTAAGTTCAACCCATGACATCACGAATTCCTGGAATCGATTTCGATTTGGGCTTTAAAATGTAATCACTTTCAATTTTTTTCCTCGAAACATGCATTTGTAGAAGAAACTATGGTATAGTAAAGCTAAAACGAATAGAACTCTTGGCATTGATCACTGAAGTACACCCAATGCATTCGACTTCACTGAGCATTGTTAGAGGTGATTGAATGCATATCTGCTCTCTACATTGACTCGAAGTGCCCTACCGATGTATCGAATCAGTGCTGCTATCCTCCCAGACAGATCTGGTACCAATTTGCCCACCCCGGAGGGATGGAAAGCTTGCAAAGCCAAGCGTGAAAGATAGAATCACGGATTATGTCTTTACGAAGAACCGGTAGCCATTGCCAAACGCGCTCAAGAGATAGAAAAGTGGAATCCACAAGAAAACAATGGGAAACATTAGTAAACGAGTAACAGCGAGCAAAGAAATTTGTGAACACTACGAAAAGGGAAATTTATCGAAAAGGAAACCGTCTGCACACAAAAGATTAGAGTGGAATGACGAGGAACTCCAATTTTTTTTCTTCCTATTTTTCTGCTCTTGCTCATTAGTCATCAAATACTAGTAACGCCTGAAAATTCATTAACAGATGTCATTGTTGGCTAAGTTTTTTTCAAATTCTTTGATTGATTATAGGTACGGGGACGTGGAGAGCGCAGTATGGTTGCAGAAAGCAGGAATGAAAGAATTCACTGCTCTCTTTATGACACTTCCTCCTTATCATATGACACAAATCGCAGCTGCTGTGAGTTACTATGCAAGGAAGGAATTTGGTAAAAGCATCTTTATAAGACGATGACGTCACTATGAGATTCAACCAGCTCTTCGTAAGCGCCAGTGCAAGGATGAAAATGTCCAAATTTCAAAAGCGTAACGACAACAATCAGTTCCGAGGTTGTAGTAAAACTACTTCCTAACTCACAGCCTTGATGGATTATTTGTATTCAAAAACTTATTAAATGATCAAACAGGAGCTTTCTGGAGCTTTTTATAAACATCCGATGAAAATAGCTGGGATCATCGTAGAGCCGGCCCGAATCTGGCATCATATGTAATCCCAGGATTTCTCGAAAAACTTAAATAGTTAACTAAAACGACTTTCACTTAACCTCAGCATGAAAAAGTTCAGCTTACACGAGGTTGTTATACAACTTTTATTCGCCTAACGCTTTGACGTCTTCGTCTTCCTCAGAGCCGATGAACCGTGTTGATGGTCCACAGTCGTTCGCACTCTCGACAACGACATCCTATAAGCTGAACAGTTTAAAGAAATTTATTGATTAATCACGCCGAAGTTAAGTGAAAAGCGGTTAATTATTACTTCGTTATGTGCCAGCTACTCTAATACCGACTGCTAGAGGATATATTGCCGTCGTGAAAAGAAATCATTATCGGTCGACAATCAATCACCAATCGTCCTGTATAATACAGCATCGCTGGGTGATGCTGCCTTATTCGAGCTGTGCTCCATCGAAGAAGATTCGACTCGATAGGACAACGAAGATGCTACATCTAGAAGGCGAACAACTGTTACCCATCGACTCGGATCATCGAGGAAGACGAAGACGTCGAAACGTTGACCGAGTAACCGAGTATAACAACCTCGTGTAAGCTGAACAATTCAAAGACACTTGAGTAGATTTGAGGAAAGCTCTTGCTTTTTCCGGTCGAGTGTCTGAATCGCCCAGAATGCCTCGCCTTATCGAAAGGCATGGAAATCCTTATACTTTTGCAATGAGCTTTTGCATCACTGTCATAATTAGGAGTGTAGCCGTGGTAGTTGGTAGAGCTCTGCCATAGCATAGGAATACACTTAGTTTCGCTTCCAAATGACACAGTTGAACTCTTTTGTGTGGAAGAACATTTTGAAAGAAAGAGGTTGTGGATCCTCCGTTGTAAAGATTGCGATGGTGAAGCACTATGGAGGTTCGGGGAAAGACTGTCTCTTAATAGATTTGGAATCTATCAAGATAAACGCGTAAACTCCTTCTAGTAGTAAAAACTTTACGCTACCATATTGAGCAAAGATTAGTGTTGTCATGACGAATAGTTATGTCACCTATTCCTATAGAGATGCTTTGATTTCAACTGATGTAATTTTTTATATATCATAGTTCCATTACTGGATTTTAAACTATTATTTGCTGCCCACCCTATTTTTACTGGTAGGCTATTGTGTGAAATACAAACACAAGGATTCTGAGGTATGAGCAGAACTCGGAGTCTCAGGTGGTCTTCTGGCTGGGAGGAAGGCAAAGCAAGGGCCATTGTCGGTGTAGTGAGTACATTCGGAAAGAGTAGTCGCAGGCTCCAAGTCTATCTGAGTTACGAGTTTTATCCCTACCTGAGCATCCTTGTAATTTCCTAGATCCTCATGTGTGTATTCTAGGCATGTGCGAAACATGAAAAACAGTTAACATGCGGTGCTGAATTCGAAGGCATTGAAGTCACACGAAAACGAATCACAGATTTACAAAAAATTGGAAATCATAAGTGAGTAGAGCAAGGAGCTGAAATTTGTCGGATTTTGTTCGATTCTCTTCTAATTGTTAAACTGCAGGCAGATCTATATATAAAGTTTCTTAGCAGAATAATGTTTGAGAAGGAATGCAAAGATGCGGAATTCATCACAACTGTCTATCCCTGCATCGGTCGTAATGTAAGCAATTGGATTCGACCGTGTTCCGAGGTAAGATCGATGACTCAGATTTTTAGAGACCTTTTTCTAAATTTATACCGAAAAGGTTGTTCGAAGCTTGATGTCAGAGATAATAATTAAAACCGACTGGGATGCGTGTATCGCAGTAGTTAGAAGTGCTCTGAAATACCCACATGGTAGTTTATTGGATCTGGTGCTATGGGCAAACGAAGGTCTTCAACTTTCAGGGTTCGGCAGATTAGTATAAGACTTACATAGGAGGCATAAAAGTATTGATTTGGCACATTGCTAAAGCACAGCAATTCATTTGTGTAGACCATACGTACTTCAAGTCACATCTGTGGTGCTGGTGGATGGAGTTGAATGTATGCCCCATCTCTCAGGGATTAACCAACGCCGAACACCGTATCGCTTATTCTTCTAACCACCAGCAAGAAATTATTGTTATTTGGACCGGTCCTGTATGGGAATCATGGTTAACGCGATATACTTACGGCAATGGCTGTAGCACAAATAATGCCGATTACAGAAAAGAAGCTGTATTGAGAAACTCGAATCTCGTCTGTATTTGAACACAGTAAGAAATGAATACAGGTGCTACAAAAGGTTATGAGAAAAGTGTAAAAAAATTCTATTTCATTATTTATTTACGTATTTATTTATTTACTTATTTGTTTGTTTATTTGTTTACTTACTTATTCATCTTTTTATTTATACGATCCATCTTTCACAACTACTGTGTGTATCTCAACACATTTTGCATTCGATTCGTTTCCTCGGACCCATAACCCACAAAGTTCTTCCAAGTTTTTAAAATTTTTACGTGTGACTTAGGTTGCTGTTTGAGGATTTTCCTTTCAACACGACTGTCGTCGAATGAATTCGAGTCTGAATGTGTCGTTTTCTTGTTCAGCAATCTCGAAGTTGTTAAACAGCATGCACTTACTTCCATAGAGGAACACAATACAATACAACGCTAGCTGACGTCTCGGCAGTATCGCCTTCTTCAGAGCCTGGAAGGGTATACTGATGTACCATCTACTAGGCCAAACGCTTCAATAACACTTACAAAAAGAGATGTTAACGAACGGGATCAGGTCGCGTATGATCTCCGGGCATTCGTCCCTGCTATTCATTGTAGGGTTTAGGCATTTATCCAAAAAGCCTCAAGGAGTTTTCGCGCTGGTGTTTTGGATTCCTGTGCAAGGATATTGACTTTAATAGGATAATTCGTCTATTATGAGGTGGAAGAGTATTGTAGCTATAAATGGGTAACTTCATGAAATTGAAATGATCTATTGAAAGTAAATAAAAATCTTTAAAACAAAGGTATAATCGTTTGCATGGAACTTGAAGATATTATTTTCTCATGATTGTTGTTGAACCCTGGTGAAGCTAATTTTGTTCGAAATTCTTAGACAGCCCTATCGGAGAGCTCCCAGAAGCAGCCTCCAGCCCTGTGCATTTGATGGACCTTTCGAGCTTCTAAGCAAGGCAAAGATGACTCATTGCATTTTTGGCCTACGAAAATACTTTCTTTGACTTACTGTGATAAGCCGGGAACTCAGTGTCTGTTGCCCCAGCAAACGTTTGGAAACAATTCTTTGAAATCGAAAAAGAGGACGTGGTTAATGCGGAGCGGGATCGAACCAACGACTATGTGCATTACATGACATCTTTGACTAATGCGTTACCCACCATGTGCTGCAATATGACATTAGAAAACTTCCTTTCGCTTAAATCGCGTAATTTTAGCTTATCAATGCCTACTCGTCAGTACATGACAGTGTAAATCAACAAGTTTCCTCTGCGTATGACAATGCCGTGAGGAAACTAAAAGCATCAGCAGATGGGTATGAGTTTCATTCTGGTGGTTCGGATTATAGTTTCACGTATTCCATATGTTTTAACGTAGGAACTCTTCAGGCTGTCCAGCAAGGAGGATTTAAGGACATTTGAACAAGCGATGGCTTCAATAGCATTCTTGGAAGGATCAAAGTGTGGACTTTTTAAACAGGTCTTCTTTTTTCTTTCTTTTGTTTGAATGTCATTGACTCCGCAAACCTTGCTAGTGGAGAAAGTTTAGGCAAAACCATAAATGTCTAGGAAGTCAGGCGAGAAAATCCTGCATCACTAACACATGAACGCGTGAACACATGTTAGTTGTCGAGATGTGGTATTGAACGGAAAATCGATAACTGCTGCATCGAATTTCCCAAAAAATCAATAGCACATTCTCTTTGCCCTCTATTACTTGCAGCGTCCACAGTAGCTAGAAGCGAGAAACGAAGACATTCCTCTTTTTCAAAAGTGGTGCCTAGAAAAAAAACATCACTAGTTACCTAGTGGTTAAACCACGAGTTTTTCTACGGCTGAGCAGAACGCGTTCATAGATATATAGAAATAGATAGAACTGGCTGAGAAACAGGAGAAACGAAGGACCCGCATGGTGTGGTGGTGAACGCGTTACTCCCCGGAAAGGATAATAGCGCGTTCGTTCTCCACCCCAGACACCTGCGGTCCGGAGTTTTGCAAATATCTCACCATCGTTGTGGTTGTTTTTCAATAATTTTTACTCTTTCTTTTCTTTCTTTCAGATGCGTGTTTGTATTCTACGTCAGTTACTGGAAAGGTGTGGAATAGAAGCGATGAAAGCGTTTAACACAAGTATAAGCTTGGGTTATCTCAGAACTGAGAGGCGAGAACGGCTTAATCTCGATTTTGAGGTACGTCTAAGTCTTTTGAGTAGTAATTGTGTTTACTACTTTTCTCTCTTCCTGTCCTTCTTTCCCTTACACTCTTTTGCCGTCCTCCTTTCTCCGCCCTCATTTTTCCCTCTTTTTTTCACTCATCCACTCATGTCCTTCTCTTCCCTATTTGCTTCTGTACTTCGATGGTTCGTCTTCACTGATTCTACGGACCCTAACATGATTTTTATTTCTCGGAGATTTCCTGGTTTACTCACTGCGGTTCTCTGGGATCGTGACGTCAACTTTGCCGAAGTCTTCCTCAGGATGTCACCACACCCCAGGCAGTCGCCGCTCTTTTGGATTAGAGGGAGATTTGCTACCTTGAGATTAGTTTGGTAGCAGGACGATGGCGATACCCGGTATTGGTTTACTTTTTGCTGGGCTTTCGGATGGAAACGTTAGACTCAGTTTGGAAAGCCCTGCTAAGGGATGAACTCGCTGCTGTACATCGCAACCCGACACCCAGGAAGACCACCTAGCCACGATGAGACGGTGAACTCTTGGGAGCATCTTTCCCTATCCCTCTTAATACCTATTTTGCAAACTTGTGCCACCGTAGTTTTTCGAATGGTTGGATTCCATGTGCCAATCTTCTCGTAGAAATTCCTAACACTGAATGAAAATAGTATGTATTACACCTATACTATATTTATTATTTTTTTAAATAATGAAGTAATCTGAACGCACATCAACATATTCATTCATTCTTTATTCCTTTCTCCAGATTTCTTCAATCTAGTTGCAAACTGAGGCCAAGGTAACGTAGTGCTATTGGTATCGTTGAATACTCATAAGGCCTAGGTCCAACTCCTCCTCGATCCAGCGAAGCCCATCCTCCATAGGGGGCATTGTTATCAGGACTGTCAGGAAACCTTCTCGCGATCAACCAAAGCTGGCAAGTAACTATGATAAAATCTGGGGACGCTGAAGCATCGGTATCTCAGAATTCGAGGGGGAATCGGTTTGAGAATTCAACGACATTCACGACACAAACGAAAATGCTTAAGCAGAGACTGAACACAGATAAAAAAGTTTGAATACTTTGGCGGATGGCGAATGCGAAGAAACGAATATAATGCAAGAAATATTGGAATCCGCACAATATGTGGTGCCAGCTCATAAAAAATTATCGTACTGCTATTATTGCTATTGTTATTATTTGAGACGCGTGTAGCGCAGTGGTTAAAGGTGCCTTGCAATACACATGGATTCGATCCCACGTCCTAGACTCATCAAGACCTTCCATCTCTCCGGGGTCGGAAAATTCGCACCAGACCTGACAAGTAGGATAGCAGCACCGACTCGTTGCACGAGTAGGCCACCACATGCCATTGTATCGGCCAAATAATCATTTAATCACTTCTAACGATGCTTGATGAAGTCGAATGTACGATGCATCCCTCAGGAACGGACAAACGACGACGGCTTCATCCTTTTATCCTTTTATTGTTATTATTTATCATTATTAAGTGTTAATGTCAACAGTTATTATTAAACAGTATTATTATTGGTCATTATTGTTATTATTGTTTGCTATTGCCCGTGATATTATTACTAGCTGCTGGGAGAAAAAGTAAAGCGAGGGCCTCAGTACAGCAGCGTGTAACACGTGAGCCACCGGAAACGGTAATCGTGGTTCGATCTGGCTTTAGGTCCAAGTTTTGAAAATATCTCAGTATCAATGTTATACCTTTTTATTTTCTGCCTACTATAATTTCGCAGCAGGGTACTAAGCGAAGTACAACAACGTTGCTGAGATATTTGCAAAACTCTGGACCGCAGGTGTCTATGGTGGAGAACGCGCTATTGTCCTTTCCGGGGAGTAACGCGTTCACCACCACACCATGCGGGTCTTTCGTTTCACCTGCCTCTCAGCTATTTCTATCGATCTTTGCCATAGCAATCACCCGTCAGCGGGATTGATCTGGGGCGCCGAAACCGCCATAGAACCCAGTTAAGCTGCGGCTGTAGTTGAAATCACAATGTTATACCTTTTTATTTTCTGCCTACTCAATAGAAATAGCTGAGAGACAGGCGAAACGAAGGACCCGCATGGTGTGGTGGTGAACGCATTACGTTACTTCCCGGAAAAGACAATAGCGCGTTCCCCACCATAGACACCTGCGGTCCAGAGTTTTGCAAATATCTCAGCAACGTTGTGGTTGTATCTCAGCATCATTTTGGTTGCATTTCACACAATGATCTGCCGTGAAAAATTGTAATTGGCTGTAAAAAAGACTAACATTACTATTATTACTACCAATCACTACTCCACGTATTACTTCCACTGAGGGGTCCACAACGGTGGCTTATAAGGCGACGTGGATTGTCATCAGATGACGGATAGAGGGTTAAACGCGGTCCTGAAGCGTCCATTTACTTACACTGAAAGGCATTTCATTCAAAGAATGGCATCCTTTTCTGTGTTGTGAAATATTAACTTACATTTCGGTACGTACGTTGACAGATCCATTTATCTCTACCTTAGTGAGTCCACACAAGTACACCTTATTTGCGGCCTGCTCTCCAAAAACCTTCTGTCAAACATCTGGGAAAACAATAAGAATGATTCGGTGTTGTCACCAACAAATAGGCTCCACATTCTTTCCTGCATAGTCCTGGGAGCGACCTGTAGTTAATCTATCACCAAAAAACCTTTAAAAGAAAAAAATGAGAAAAGGTTACTCCTCCTCGTGTCTGTTGTGCAAGTGAAGCCTACCGAATAAGTCTGAGCGATAAGAACGCGTCCGGAAACCCAAGCGATTTAGTCACTGATGATAGACGCGATTACGGATTCACATAAAGAATAAAAGATGAAATGTTTGTCGTTGATTTATCCTCTACGGATTCGTCATGCATTGGACTCCATTCAGCATCATCAGTGTGGTTGAGTGCACATTTGGTTTACACAACAACTTGCGGTGGCTTTAAAACGAGTCATAGTTCAGTGTTTTTATCCTCCCGAACAAGTTTGGTGCCAATTTGCGACCCTGTAGGGATAAAGCGATTGATTTGGATGTGAGACATGGTCGAACTAGTGACCTAGTGTGCATTGCTGAGCAACTCTAACCACTTCGATACAAGTGCCTATTTGTTCAAAATAAATTATTATACATGAACCATAGTAAATCGTCATACAAATCCCAATTCAGTTCCAGGTTTTCAATTATCCGATCCATCCCAATTGCGTTGGTCTCTAAATCGTGTTCGACAAAAAGCACATTTTCTTCAACCGTTCATGGATTGTACGAAACGCTTGGCTCAGAAGTACAAGACGACTTCCTACTAGATAAACTATTTTGAATTTTTTTAACTTTATTACAGCAAAACTAGTTCAAAGAGATCAAGGCAGACAATCTAGCTAGAGATGAAGATCGACCACAGCAACTACTTGTATAAACGTTTCACTTTCCCAAATTTTTCTCTATAATTCATTTTTTGTCACTTCGATTACTGTAGTTCGGTGTGAGCAATGTCGTTTAACCGCTTCATAATAAAACTTTAAAATCAGTTTGGAAAACCGGTCAGTGACTTTTTATAAGAGTGGAAACAGCAGCGCTCATCACTATAAAGCAAAATATTAATACTTTTTGCAATAATGGACTTCCAGTATTATCCCCAGGTAAGCGCAAGATTCGTTACGGTAGTGGAAGAATTCGTTTCACAAGGTAGCAAGCCCGCAAATAATCTAAAAGAATCGCAACTACTTGTCGTGAAGCCCTTAGAACACGGAACATTGATATCTCGTGATCACCTACATCGTTTAATCGACTGAATGCATATTTTGCCTATACAGTGACTTACTAAAGTCTACCGATGTATGAAGTCGGCGTTTTCCACAGCCCCACATAAGGCTTAGTAATTTACGGGCCTCATAAGGATAGAGGACTAGTTAGCTTGAGGCATAGGTACAACGCACACCACCTTCAATCAATGTGTTGTAGTAGCAGTCGTCGGATGGCAAATAAACGGTTAGAGGTGGATCGAAAGCAAGCTCATGGTTGACCTGATAAGGGGACGTTTTTGGGGCATGGATTGATAATCTTTACATAACCTGATTGCACGTACCTTTTGCATGGTCGTACATATATTCATATTTGTATATCACGTTGATTTGGCCAAAACGGCAGCGAGATGACTGGCGTGTATATTTCGATGCGTTTTGGGTTCACTTTCGACAAGTACACTTAATGTCTATACTGCGAGAGTTTATAAATTTATGGCAGCGCTCATGATAGGACCGAAGGGCTTAGTTGCATTCTCGTCAGAAATTTTTGAAGTGGATTAATCCAATTTCAAAGTATTTTTCACAGAAAGGTCAATGAAAGCTACCCTTGGGATTTCCGTTGTCAAAAACAATAATATCAAAGCGCTTTATACGGACACTGTGACGCTTTTCGGGTCCATAGAACGAACAAAGTTCGGCGAGTGACTTGGGCATGCGACTTCTCCGTAAACATTAGCGAGAACAGCAGTATTCTTATCTATATTATAATTATATTATAATATATCCCAACTTTTCATCTGTTTTTTGTTAACATCGTGTTAGCTTACTCATCGTAGGGAATATTATAGAGAATATTCTCCGTGAACATTCTCTATCTCTTAATGTTACCATACGTAACTCATTCCTAGTCCAGTTTATGTTACTCCTACCACTTTCAGGACGAAGCTATCTAAGCACAAATATAGCTTTTATATGGAGCCATTTCAGATTTAAACACGGTTAGGACCAAGATTTTCAGAAAATTTGAAATCATCTTTACAAGTTTTGAAGTTTCCGGCAGCTGCAAACGTGAACGATATATTGAGAAACGCCGTGGTGTTTTGCTAGAGGAAGTCCTGTTTGTTCATTTGCTTTCGTGTTCGAAATATGAGCCTTGAAGGAAAAAGTGGAAAAAATATATGTTTATCTTTTTATACGAGCCGTCATAAGATGTGCTGCTCCCACTGCGGATCGCAGCACTTCTTGCGTTCGATTCGTTTTCCTCGCATTCATCGTCCACAGTGATCTTCGAACATTTCGAGTGTTGTTTCGGTTGTTGTTTGAGGATTTCGCCTTCTTTATGGATGTCGTAGAATGCTGGTCGAGTCGATTCTGCTTGCAATATCGTTGATGGGCAGTCTAAGGTATTCCCACGTGAATTGGTGAAAGGGATTTGGAAGGGGGTCGAGCCAGCGTCCTTGCTTCCTTATCCACGGCAGTACTAACCACCGCGCTATTCCTCTTCCACCAATATATGTTATAGGCTATAAAAAATCGCAAATTTCATCGAAGTAGAAAGCGACCACTTTCATCCCTGTGAGGAAGGATTTGCATATTCTAATAGATTTTTCTGCAGACAATAGACAATAGCAGACAAAAGAATTCACTATGAGCTATACTGGTTTCAAGTTAAGAGCTGCCATTATTTTGGAGTTCTTTGACTCTCACATAGGTCACATCGTCGCGTAAGTGTGCACTTTGCTTTGTCCTGTTACTTGCGCACTTCGCAAGATTACGGTCGTCAAGGATTTTGTAACATATAGATTCGAACTCCAGACCGTCGCCGCCCTCTCCATGCGCGCTATGTAAGGGTTGCTATTGATTTGTCTGCTCATTCCTTCTGGAACCATACTAGCCTTCCACCTTACGGTAGATTTCTATTGATAATTTTGTATAATCTCTTTTTGGTGTATACCTTCCTATTATTAGTGTTCTTCCTTACTCTGTATGTCATCATTGCATATTAATAACCTCATAACTCATAGTGTTTATATA